CTGCTACCCAGCAGGCCTTCAACACACTCAAGGCGGCCCTTAGTTCTGCTCCCATCTTGATCCATGCTGATCCCTCACAACCTTTCTTCATCGAGGCTGACGCCTCCGACTTTGCCATCAATGCTATGCTGTCTCAACTCGGAGCTGATCAGAAATTTCATCCGGTCGCTTTCCATTCTCGGAAATTCTAGCCTGCAAAGATCAATTACGAAATCCACCACAAGGAGCTCCTTGCCATCGTGGATTCCTTTGGAGAGTGGCGTCGTTTCTTGGAGGGGCGGGCCATCAAACAACGGTCTGGATAGATCACAAAAATCTCGAGTACTTTGCCACTTCCCGAGTTTTGAGCCGTTGTCAGGCAAGGTGGGCACAATTCCTGAGTCGGTTTGACTTTGTAATCAAGTACAGACTTGGAAAGCTTCAAGGCCTTCCTGATGCTCTTTCAAGGCGCTCCTATCTCAGTCTCAGGCCTGGTAATCCTACATTCAATCAACAAGATCAGTTTATCCTCGGTCCTGATCGGCTTCAAGTTATGGCAATTTCCCTGGCCCCTTAGGACTCCTCCTTGATGGATGCGATTAGAAACGATCTTCAATCTGATGACCTTGCCAGTGACATTTTCCCCCATCTTCAGGCTGGACACCCAGTGACTCCTGACTACCAGCGATTTGATGAGTTCAAGTCCTTAGATGGCTTGTTGTACCGTGGGGAGCAGCTTTACGTTCCTGAAGGTGATGTTCAAACGTTGGTCTTGATGGCATGCCATGATAGCCCGATTGCTGGTCACTTCGGCATTGTGAAAACCTATGAGCTAGTTGCACGGGACTTTTGGTGGCCTCACATCAACGACTACATCAAAGCTGTTGTTACCTTCTGTGACACTTGCACCCGAAATAAGGTACCTCACCACCTTCCTTTAGGTTTGCTTTGTTCCCTCCCAGTCCCTTCAGGTCCTTGGGAATCCATCTCCATGGATTTCTTGAGTGATCTTCCGAGTTCTGGAGGCTTCAACAGCATTTTAGTTGTGGTGGATCGCTTCACAAAGATGGCACATTTCCTACCATATACCAAGGAGTTTTCGGGCAAGGACATGGCAAAACTGGTATTCAGGGAAATTTCCTAACTTCATAGGATTCCTGTAGATGTGGTTTCGAATTGGGGACCTTAGTTCATCTCTCATTTCTGGCAACGGTTTTTGCAGCTGCTTGGAGTGAAGGCCAACCTCTCTTTGGCGTATCATCCTCAAACTGATGGACAGTTCGAGCGAACGATTTAGACGTTGGAACAATTCCTGAGGTGCTTCATCAACTATCATTAGGATCACTGGTTCGATATCGTTCCCCTTGCTGAGTTCTCCTATAATAACTCTGTTCACTCCTCTCTTCAAGTTTCCCCCTTCTTTGCGAACTCTGGCCGAAATCCCCAATTCAATCTCTCACTTCCTTCTCCATCTGAGTCCTCTTGTTCAAATCCCCACTCTGAGGCATTTGTCTCTAACCTCCAGGAAATCCACAACTCCATCTCCTTCCACCTCCATCATGCTCAGGAATCTCACAAAACATTTGCCAGTGTCCATCGTCAGGATTGTCTCCCTTACAATATCGGGGATAAAGTCTAGCTCCTCAGGCAAAATATCTCCACCACCAGGCCATGTCCCAAACTCGATTTCAAACGCCTCAGTCCTTTCCCTATCACTGCCATCATTAATTTTGTCACTTATCACCTTGCACTTTCCTCTTCATCCACCAGTGCAGCTTGAGGATGGGTCTGAGTACGAGGTTCAGGACATCCTTGATTCCAAGATCTCACAGTCTAAACTCTACTATCTAGTCGACTGGAAGGGTTATGGACCTGAAGAATGCACTTGGGAACCTACGGACAACCTGATTCATTCTCCTGACCTTGTTCAGGACTTCCACTGTCACTATCCTTCTCATCCCAGTCCTCATTCTTTTTCTCCATCTCCCGTCCCTCGCCGCCCATCTCATCCTCCTCTTCATTCTCATTCACGTCCTCATTCCACTCGTTCTTGAGGAGGGGGTGCTGTCAGGAATCCCTCAATTCTTACCACATTCCTGACTCTCACCAGATTCCTGACTTGCAGACCATATTCCTGACTCTCAAGACACTTCCTTATTCCTGACTCTCTGATTTCCCGTATGATCCTTGAGTCTCGAGCCACATTCTTGATGATGATGTGGCGTCTCCTCGACCTCAACTATATTTAGGTCATCCTCGATCCAAGAGTGGTAGAGCTTCATCAACCTATAGTATATATAGGTTAGCTTTGTTCCATTTCTCCACAATCTGAATCAACGCCAGTTAAAGGCCTCTTCTTCGTTTCCACTAGCTTTTCTCTTTGTTTTCTACATTTTCCAGTCTTGATCTTGTTGGGGGTCTTGACAATCATGGCAGTAAGGAAAGAGTGCCCGTAAGGATTGGCCAACAAGTATCTTTCAATACCCGAAGTCACATTTGCGACAGCAGTTGCTGTATTTAATATTCAGTGTCCACAAGGCATAAAGAAAGATCTATCTTCTCTTGATAAGGTTCGCGAAGCTCAAAAGATTGAGCCGTGGATTTGAAGGTTTCAAGATGGGTTTGAGAATCCTACATCACATGCTGATGACTTGCCTTTCCGGCATTTACATTCTCAATATCACCTTAAAGACGGCCTTCTTTATTTTGTGGGGATGGATGTTGATGATCATTTACTATTGGTGGTGCCTTCTGTCTTTATTCTGCAGTTTCTCCATGCCTACCATGATTCTCTTGTTCTAGGTAGGCATATGGGACATCGTCGTATGATTGAGAAGCTACACAGGTCTTTCTATTGGCCGGAGATGCGACGTGATATTATCCAGTATGTGCATAACTGCATTTGGTGCCAAGTTCGTAATACTCCCCCTCGTGCCATAGGACAGTTAGAGTAGATTGTAGTTTCCCGTTCGTTTGAGTTGGTGGCATTTGATCTTATGGGACCTTTTCCACAATCGACTATTGGTAATGAGTATGTTATTATTGCTTTTGACTACTTGACTTGTTATGTGGAAGTTAGTGCTCTTGCTAACACCATTGCAATTGTTGTTGGATACTTCTTCCTCAATTGAGTGGTGTTCTAGCAATCTTGTCCATTCTTTCAGATAATGGTCCCGCATTTATGGCTGAGGCATTTCATGTTTTAACGTTTCAGTTGGGGATACACCACACTTTTACGAGTGCTTATCATCCACAATTAAATAGTCTAGTGAAACGGCTCGTTCAAACGTTCAAAAGGATGATCGCGAAATATGTGAACTTTCAACATTCGGATTGAGATGGTTATTTACCGTTTCTTCAATATGCATATGTCACATGGGTGCAAAGTTCTGTTAGTGCTTCACCATATAAACTCTTATATGGTCATGATCCAATATTACCAACAGAGCTAGGTTTACTTTCACGATTGCCACAAGGTACTGATACTAGGTCATGTGATAAGTATTTGACGAGCATTCTTCCATTTGTCCAAGCAGAATCTACTGAACACTTAGGCCATTTACAAGTGGGACAATAACGGCGCTACAACTCCCATCATCATCCACCTGCAGAATACAAAATGGATTACTTGGTGTTAGTCCATTTTCCCCATCTTATGATATGTGGTTTATCTAAAGGGCTCCTTGCTCAATGGAAAAGACTATATCGAGTGTTGCGGCAAGTGGGACCACAAGTTTATGAAGTTTGGCATGATGTCCAGCAGACTGATCCTCCAGAGATTGTGTATGTGCAACAGTTGAAACACTTCATACAAAGGGATCAAGAGCAGTTAATACCATCTACTGATCTACCAATGTCTCCTCCTAATGTTCTTTCAGATCCTGGCCCATCTACAAGAGAACCCTGATGGTCTTCCATTATTCCGAGAGGAGGGAATGATGTGAGGGCCAAATGTATGGTTATAATGTTGTATATTAATATTAGCATAGTGAGATTTTGGTAGTCGTCCGATTGGTTTCAATCCAGACCACTCACTCTTGTATATAAGCTAGGGTTTTTGGGCTAATTGATATGTATATTTTCTGTATTCCAAGCACTCACATTATAAAATAACTTCATTTAACACTTATTTATTTATTTATTAATTAGCTAAACATATATTAAAGGTTTCCTAGTGAAAGTTAATTTTATTAATAGTATTAAGTTGATTTAGAAAATCACCACTATTTTATCCTATTTACATATTTAATTTGTGGAATTGAAGGACTTGCATGGAAATATCAAGAATGAACATTTTCAAAGAGTTTATTAGACACTTTTAGTTTCTGAGCTAGTGCAATAATTATTTTAATTTATATTTTTTTTAAACAAAATTTTTTGGTTAAGCATCATTATTCATTTTCTGTTGATTATTGATGTTAAGAAATAGGTGGGTTATTAGTCAAATCAAGAGGCATCACCATATATTTAAAACAATTGTAAGAACTCATGAGCCTCCAAATTTTGAAAGAGAGCATAATTTATATGAACCATTAAAGAACACTTGAAAAATATAATAAAATTATATAGAATCTATATATTAATTTGTAAAAATAAACATGTATATATAGCATTTTCAGTGTGAAAAAACTTTCCTAGAGATGAGTTGGAGAGAGCCACTCTTGAAACTGCCAATTCACACATCATTCCCAGAGAGCATTGCCACAAATCCCCGAGCAAAGCTGATGCTGACTTGCCCATCTATGTAGACATCACTCTGAAAAACTTGTCAGTGAACCTCGTTAAGGGACTCTTTTAGAGAATTGGAGCTGCCTGTCCTCAACCAAGAAACCTTGTAGCTTGTTCCCTCGTGTTTGAAGATGCTGCATTTGATCGACCTGGTTCATGTCCCACACTCAATCCATGACATGATATGCATGTTGATCGGTCAGGCAAATTCCAACCTTTGGAAAAACTTCAATGTCGTAGAGCTAGTCAGGCACTACACAGTCGCTACTTGCCGATGCTGTTTGGTCCTACTGCTACTGCTTGGTGCCGTTGCTTGGTGGTGCTGCCACTACCAGTTGTGCTGCCGCTGCTGAAGCTTGAGCCTCCCGCCTAAATCCCATTTGTGCTGTGCCCACCCTCGCCGCCTTCCATGCCCTGGTCGCTATCGTGGCTGCCGTAGTCGCGCTGTGACCTCTCCTGCCCTGCTGACGCTGGCTCAAAATATGGCTCAAGTAGCTCTAAAAACAACTAGTAGCTCTTACAATTCTTTGTAAGAATAATAACCTTTGGTGCTAGTGAGGGGAATAACGTTTTCATGTGCATATCAGTAAGGCACATTGTCCTTCTCAGACGTTCTGAATGCAATGAAAGTAATGAAACCACAAATTTTGCAGAGCTCTTCCTTGACATTCTTGCTTATCTCCGGTGTTTTCACTGCTATACCAAACCAGTTTTCTGTATCACGTAGAAACACGACCAGAGGTTTACAAGTCACTGAAAGCTGCTCAACAAAGAGGAGTTACTAAGACGTGTAGAAAATTTACCTCTTGCAAAGCATTAATTCTGGTGCAATAGCTAGAATCATTAGCCAACAATTCAATTTCTCCACCTTTTCCTGTTGTTGTTCTTTCCTTTTCAGAGTAATCTTCATCATCACAGCACAGGAGATTCTTCCATTATCATTGCTAATCTTCACAATCACTTGCATTTCTCATTCCTTTATTATAGTTTACATATGTCATGTTATATTCTATTCACATGAATTGATTTAAATGAAATAAGATGGTGCCTTTGGTTTACGTTTCTGGTAGACGCCATTGACGATCTCCATGTCTTTCTCCTTAACTTCACCATATTGCTGGTTCCAGGCCTCCAGTTGAGTATTAACAAAGCGTGCCGTGCGGCAAACCTGCAACAACCAAACTCTCATGGTTAACTTTCCAGTCAACTCAAAAGTCAAACCTTGCACATTGACTTCTTAAAGTCATCCACACACAATGGTCGAATTTCCACATCGTCATTTGCTTTCTCGTTGAGCTGCAAAGATTTTGGAAAGTTTGAGAGAGTAAGAGTCAAAGTTGTAACTACCTCAGCTTCCTTAGCCAGAAGCTCCCTCACTGGCACGTAAGCAGCTGCAGTACATAGGTTCTGTATACATGGCGATACAATTAGAGGTGTAATCGAGTAAAGATTTTACCTTTAAGTCACTTCCTGAGTATCCAGTTGTTAAACGGCCCAGCTCCTCCAAATCAAACTTCTTGTCCAGCTTCTCGCCTTCCAACAAAACCTTGAGGATTTCCACTCGGCTTGACCCCTTCGGGAGACTGATCAAGATCCTGAATCGACGGAGATTACAGATAGTTGCAACGGGGCAAGCTAAGATCAGTATTACCTTCTGGGGAGACGCCGAATGACAGCTTCGTCAAGATCAAATGGCCTATTCGTGGCTGCCAAAACCATAACTCTCTTGTCATCTTTGGTGCGAAGGCCATCCCACGCTGTCATAAACTCGTTCTTGACGCTGCGAGAGGTTACATCCTCATTTAGCTCGCCTCTTGCTCCTAAAATGCTGTCCACTTCATCCACAAAGATAATCGTGGGTGCGAGCTTCTCTGCCAGTGTGAAGACTGCCTTGGCCAACTTTTCGGCCTCACCGTACCACTGTGATGATAGTCAAGATCAAACGCTAAAATATAAACACTTGTACCATTGAGCTGATTGTTGAGCTTGTGATGCCGATGAATGTCGTGTTTGCTTCCGAGGCAATAGCCTTTGCAATGTGTGTCTTTCCCGTTCCTGGAGGCCCAAACAAGAGCATTCCCCGGCAAGGCTGGAAGTTTTTGGAGTGTGAGAAGCTTTCGCATATGTGGTGAACTTGGATTACCTTGAGTAAATTTCCTTTGCTAAATAGCTTTGGCCTTGTCAAAGGAAGGATCACAAGCTCTTGCAGTGTGGCTTTTACTTTTTTCAAGCCGCCAACATTTCTGAACGACACTCCAGTCTCGCCAGCAGCAATCACACACGGCAAAAGCATTTTTTCGTACTCGTCGTACGCTATCTGCATATGCCCTATTCAATGTTAGCTTAGAGAATGAACATTGGCCCCTGCTTACATTTCTTAACATCTTAGTAGTTGTATTCTTTGATATCTCCAATTTGTCAACAGATAACTGGAGACTGATCATCAAATCAAAGTGAGATCATCAAAGAACTAAATTCAATACCTTTCTAAGGATAAGGAAGTTCCGGTTGAGCCTTTGGATGCTGAATCCAAAGCTTGGGAAATGTGGATGTTTAGAGTGTGCCCTACGATCCTCTCAGCCTCTGCAAAGTTTAAACACAACGTTACCCGGGTCGACTAAATTTAGCGTGCCCTTACCCTTATCAGTGAGAGAAACCTCATCTGGGATCTTGAGATCTTTAACGCCTTTGCATTCCCAGTTGAAAAGATCAAGCACCTCCTCAATCTTTTTAGTGTTTGTTTTAGATCTATACATGGCAGAGTCACTCTTAAGCTCATCTTGCCACTTTTGAAGCATATCCTTGTCCTGGAATTACAAACATAGATTGGAGGTAGCCATAGCTTGAAGCTACAGTGGTTTGAGGATTGGGTTGAAGAGTTCTTACCTTTGGTGGAACAATCTTCACCTTGTTCTCGAATAAGCTGTAAATGTCTTCAAGGTAATAACCTGTGTGCCCCGGGCTTCGGGTGCACTTGTTCTGAACGTTAATCCTCGATGCAATGAGTACTATACCACCCGAGAGCATGTCTAGCTTATCCTGCAGTTTCTCAAGGAACTCTTTCCTCTGTGTTATTGCCACAGCTCTCCGAAACCAGTCTTCCGGATCAGGAAAGTACACCACCAGCCGTGTGCACCTCTCTAAAACCTTCATAAGCGGGAGCATTACAAGATTTGCAAAACAAATCTAGAAACTTGTACCATTTGTAGATGATTGATGACGTTGCAGGAAGAATCACAGGACAATTGAAGCTCCTCAGCTGCTTGAAAACAAATCTATCAAAACTTGCAAACAAAAGGTTTTACGTACGTCTACAATAGGTAACACAGCTCGTAGATTCGAATTTTACAGCGACCATGCTGCTTCTCGAAAAGACCACCGAACCCAATTGTCCGTTTTTCAAATTATGTCTATCAGTCCAGTAAACCACGTAGTGAAGCGATGTAACCAAGTAGAAGTTTTACCTGTCAGGATCGTTGCTTCCCACGAACTTGACATAATCTCCACTCTGGATTAATTGGGGCTTGTCCTAGAGTCGAATATTCAACTGTAAGCAATCTCAGTTGGTTTATGAAATCACGCACCTTCGACTTTACAAACGCTTCATCGATTTCATCGTTTTCTTGCCCGTCATCATCATCAGCCTTGTTCTTCTATTTAAAGTTTCCAAGGTTATAGAAGTTCTAGCAGAAACGATGCAAACGATGCTTACTATCTTATAAGGCGACAACAGATTCCCGTGGAGAGAAAGAAACGAAGCATTGAGATCCTTGGCCACAGCCATGGCCAGAGTCTCTTGATAGATCTCCGACCCTGCAGAACAAAGGATTCATGAAAAGGGGTTTTCCTTGTCTAGAGATTCCTTGCCTGGTGGTCCATGCAAAACGATCCTTGAGCTGGTGGAGTCTAGGACTTTCATCCGTTTCATCAAATCAGGATGCTGCAAATGAGCAGTGGCGCAATGGACGACCATATCTCGAGTTTCTTGGCTGCCAGCAACCGTAAGTTCTAGCCAGAACAAAAGTATAGCTTACTCAAGGTAGTAAGGAAAGCTATCCAGTGACACTGTAAGATCAGTGCTTTTGACGAGCCTATCCTCCCATTCCTTTGGCGGTGGATTAGTGTTTTTGACCTCCAATTGCTTCGGTGGTGGATCAGTGTTCTTGGCCTCCAATTCCTTTGGTGGTGGATCAGTGTTCTCGACGGGCCTAGCCTCCAATTCCTTTGGTGGCTCATCGCTAGAGCCCTTGGCTTTGAGAACTTTAGATTTTCTTTCCCACAACCTGCTCAGCATTTCGCCACCCTGAAACCTTAGGGCTCCAACTTAAAATATGTGAATGTAAAAGGGAACGAAAATGCAAAGCCCTAATAGTCCACGCACGTGGCGAGTTATTCGCTTGGCGATCCAACGGTGGCCACCAGCCCGCCCGTCAATTTGGAGATCTTCGAGCCTGGCAACACGACGACGCGAGGTCTTTGTTCTTCGGAGGACTACCCGGCGCGAAATTTCTCCTGCTTCTCCTTCGATCTTCTCTTCTCCGCGGATCTCTTGATTCATGAGCCTCGCTGCCGCGAGATTGATGATTTCGGGAGCTGTGAGGCGCGGCGGCATCGAATTCCGTGTGATTCTTGTCCAGGGTTTTGGATGGAAGCTCCAGCTCCAGGCGTGTACAAGATCTGCGGCAAGCTCTGGAATGGTACGCTCTAGATTCTCGCTGCTTGCTACATTGGCCATGGCGATCGATCCGGCGCTCGAAATTTCCCAAAATCTGGCATAGATTTCGATGTTTTCATGCTTGGATTTCGTGTCGCGCAGTCGGCCCGAGGTACCGGCTCCACGAGCACATAGGATCTGGATCTTATGGAGATGTTTGCCGTGCCACCGATTGCCAGGCTTCGCTCACTGTGGCTCTCAAGGTACGAGCTCTTGGAAAAATTATAGCTCGATGGTTTTCTTCCAGAGAGTTGGAGATGTTCTTTGCTGTCCTCTGTTGGCCAAGAGAGTTCTCCGCGAAGTGTGTATCATGCGACGTTTATCCCATCGATATGTCATCACATGTAAGCCAGTTTTCCTTACTTTTTCTTTCCTTTTTGCTATAGTTCTCATTGTTCCCTTTTTAGTGACGGATGTTTTTATAAGTATGTCCATGGAAGTCTCTGGCGGAATCGATCTGTATATCGCGACCGAGTTTGCTGACGGGTTCGTCGAGTATTTCTCTTTTTCACAGTCTATCGTTTGACGCGTTTTGTCCGGGATTTGTTTACAGCGGTGACATGTATCATTTGCGAGAACCATTAACGCCACAACATGTAAAGTTTTTGATGTGGCAGTTGCTCACTGGCATGAGCTATATCCATTCATGCCGTGTTTGGCACAGGTACAGAAGCTCACTTTTAGCGAATGAAACTTGCGCTGATTCTATGGAGTCACAGGGACTTGAAGTCCGAGAACATACTTTTGATGGCCGATATGTCCGTTAAAATCTGTGACTTTGGCCTTTCACGGTCTGCCGAGGAGGTAAAACTAAGATAGTCACGGGCTAGAAATCTGAAATCACCTTCTTTTGCAGTCCGCAAATACAGATTTTCAGACTGGAATCACAAGCGGGAGAATTTTGAATGGTCGTAAGTCCCTGACCAGGCAATACACGAAGATGGTAATATCTTCTTCCGCTTGTGTGACCACGGCATTCTGAAACCGCAACAGGTTGTCACTCCCAGCTATCGAGCACCTGAAGTTATCATGTCCCGTGGCCAATACAGTTCTTCCATTGACATGTAAGTACTCGAGGCTGCAATTTACACACCCGTAGGCTGAAGAGAAATTTTTTTTTGCTTTTTATGCAGATGGTCACTTGGTTGTATTTTCTGGGTAAGTGTTAGCAGCAACGATATCACGATTTTAAATGCTTGTTTTGTGCAGGAATTGTTGATACGGTCCATCAATCCAAATATGACGGGTCCTCCACTGCGGCCTTTGTTTGGTGTCCGGTAAACACTAGCTATTCAAGTGTTGATTCTCAAGAATGTGCAAACCAGGGAAGAACCAGTAACACCAGGACAAGGAGTGAGCTACACCACTGATGGACACTCTCCTCTTCATGAGCAGGTTCTTACTCTTGTAATTGTTCTTTTTTCTGACGCGCGAAACTGCAGTTGGATGTTATCTTTAACGTTATTGGAACTCCTGGATGGAGCGACATCGAGAGCGTTCCGAGCGAGTCCTGGAGATCGTACTTGAAACATCTACCGGGAAGAGTAAGTAGTCTCTTCAAGTTGTAGTGATTTTCTATCTTTTTCTATGTGTTCGTCTTTTTTGTGTGAGGGGTCTTGGATTCTCACGGCATTCTGACTCTTTCCATATTTTCAGGCAGGAAATCTGACTGAACAATTGTTAGGATACGTCGATCAAGAAGCTTTGGATCTTCTTTTCCGGATGCTTGCCTTCAATCCTGGTCGAAGGTGCACTGCCGAGGAAGCACTCTCACATATTTATGTAAGTAATCGTTTATATTTTGCCTTCTCATACAAGTATTCTATGTAGTTCAAGGGACTAGAGAGGTCAAATGGACTTTTGCCGCCTGCATTCGAAGCCACTGCTCCAGGAGAATCCCTCTGGAACATCAAGGATCCTGCGGTAGCCCTGGATATTCTAGAGGTTCGTAACTCCACAATAGCATACGACTTTCATGTTTAATGTGTTGTAAACGCAGAGAGAGCTAGAGGCGTCTGTCTACGAAAAAGATGGTGGCCGACAGAAACTGGAAAGCCTTCTTCAGCAAGAAATAGTGCAGCAAAGGCAGCAAGAACTGTTTCGTCACTCGTTGGAGTATCTGAGGCAAAATGCGGTGCCACTCTCCTCCATTCTTCCTCCTCCACCGTCACAGCCCGACTTCCGAGGTCAAGGTTCTACGAGAAGCGTTCTACTATATGGCGACGAGATCTTAGGATCCATGCAGAAGAATCTTCCGCCAGTTCCGATGACTACACGGGTGACACGAAGTTCTGCCGCTGCCGCTGCCGCTGCTGCTGCTGCTGCTGCCATCAACGTTGAAAAATCTTCGCAAGCGAGGGCCATGCGAAGTAATAAAGCGCCGAGGGAGTTACGGACACATCAGGCAGTGGTGAACGAGGAACCCAACCAGACAGAGGGTCTTCCTCGACGATCGCCACGTCTGCGAGATCTACAAGCCGGTGATCTTCCCCACCGAAAGAGACTTTGTCTCAAAGCTGGCTGACTAGCAACTGGATGACACGATACAGTACTAGCAAACAGAGAGCCGACTCTGGATTCGAGCATCATCGTGTAGCAGAAGAACAGTGTTGAAGCCTGATAGAGCCGAGGAAATCCTCCCGGAAATGACAAATGGCTTCAAACAGGTACACTGCTGCTTCCCTGCTATTGTGATACTTGTCTGCTTCCTTCGTTTGTTTTCTTTCGCTTTGATACCACATGGATTTCTGATACAGGAAGGAAACATGGCCGCCGCGAAAGGACAGACAACAGAAACAGTTTTCTTCTCGAGTGAAAGTTAAGAAGGCTGTTATGAATGTGTACAAACGATCGATCGCTTCTGAGGTATATTGATTTTCATGGATTGCTCAAACAAACTTCGTGTTGTTTTCTGGAGATTTTTTTTTTCTCTTCTTCCTCGGCTATGGAAGAAAGAAGCTAGCTAGTACACTGGTCAGGTGCGATTCCCATTTGCTCCTTCTGGTTATCAATCGAGATTCTAAACGTTTGCTGCTGGACATTTCCGATGATGCTGAAGGCCTCCTCCTCAGGAGCGAAGGCCAGGCAGTACGTCCCCTCGTCATCCACATTGACGAGAATTCCATCGGCTGGAAGCGGCATCGAGGCACCACCATCGAAGTCGAGAACCACAGCAGGCAGGGTGGCCGTCTTCATGGATGAGAGATCATAGCAGGTGTCGAAGAGAGAGATCCCGGGGGCCGAGGGGAAAGTTACCAGCGACCGAAACGCATCGCGTAAAGCAGTGTAAGCCGGGGTGGTGAGCCTGGAGATGGCGGTGCCAGAGTCGACGATCACACCACCAGTGCCTCTGGAACCCATGGCAAACGCATCCGGGGGGATGTTCACAGGCGAGCCGGCAACTCTGATCCTCGCGAGCCCAACGTAGTAGTACGTATCCAGCCGCCGGTTGGGAAGCAGCTTGGTGAAGCGAGCTTTCTCCGGGACAGCGCTGGGACCGAAAACGAGCGACGCAGCTATGGCGGACTCCCTCCTGGGAAGGCAGTAGGAGAAGACGCTAGCGTAGGAGGTCCCCGTCTGGGATGGAAACGAGAGTGGTCCTCGTCCCAGGCCGAGCAGCCCCGCGGCGCCGTGGAAGAGCCCCTGGTTGTTCCTGCCGCAGCCCATGGCGACGCTACGCACGGCGTGCTCGCCGAAGGAGAGCGTCTCGGTGGAGAAGTCGCCGACGGTGAAGGAGCCATCGCCGTAGCTCACCTGGTACATACACTCGTTCTTGCGGCTGCAGCCTTTGATCTTGAGCTTGCCGCAGATGGAGCTGGCGCAGGCGAGAGGCTTGAACGAGGAGGAGAGCGAGGGGTTGAAGATGGGGTCCTGCTGGCGGTAGCACTTGCGGCAGGGAGAGCACTGGAGCCAAGAGACGTCGCTGCCGGTGTCCGCCACCATGTAGACGCTGCGAGCCGGCGTCCCGACTCCAATCCGAGCGAAGTAGTCGCCGCTGCCGCCAGCTATGCCAGAGATGAGTGGCGACGCGAATCCTCGTCGAGCTCCTCCGTGGCCTCGTCCTCCTCGTCCAGAGGCTAGCCCTGCTACTGCGAGAGACTCCGACTGGCCTGGGAGAGGATGGCGGAGGTCGGACTTGCGCCAGCCATTGGTGGCGAGGGCGATGGTGGCGGCGATGGCTTTGCTGCGGAGCTCGTCCTTGCGGAGGCGGGCGAGGAGGAGCTGCTTGGTGGTGGCGTTGCTTGGGCGGAGCGGGGAGGAAGGGGCGTCGCGGTGGAGCAGTGGGACGCTGAAGCTCAGCTCGTCCAGCGGCGCCTTGGCGGCGGTGGCGGCGGAGGCGGCGGCGGCTTCTTCTTGCTCCTCAACGGCTACGACTGGCGGCTTGGCGATTTGGAGCGTGACAAAGTCGGGCTGGCTGAAGGAGGAAGAGACCGCTAGAAGATTGAGGAGCAGCAGTAGCAGCAGCGGCAGCAGCGGTTCTAGAGCTCGTCTCCACATTGCTGGAAGAAGAGGAGGGAAGAAGAACAAGAAAAACAATCCAGCAACGAGTGCTACTACTACTACTCGCTCGCCTCCAAGAACAAAGAACACCGCCAACGATCTCAATCGAGCAGCTTTAAAGAATTCTCGCCTCTCTCGCCACTCCACAAGGGGACGACGAAGAGGAACGAACTAAACAATGTTTAATAGTGCATACATACATTGTTCTAACGGCTCGGCCCTGACCGTTGATGCTGACAATCCGACCGGTAACATGGCTCCACGAGGGCGGAATCAACGGTTCCTGTCGCGGCACCTCGGCGGCATATTCGTCGAGCACTAGCCATAACTTAATCAGGCTAATGAAACTTAAGCAAGCTGGAGACAATGGTCAAATTTTTTCTGAAAAAGAAGGCCCTTTGTTCTTGATGTTGGCTGTCTTTGTGACTGAAAGACACATTTGTTGGATGAATGCAATGCACCACCACACCCCTGCACACAACTTTGCTTCATAAAAACTTATAGTGAGGGACACATGAATTCGGTGCCCTGGTGTATTCTATTCATTAAAAAATCTTTGCTTTTCTAACACTGGAGTTCCTCCAAACAAAAACACCTTAGATTAGCCTCGAAAGATTCTCATAACCATATGTTATTTGGCACTGGGGTGGTTTTATACTTTTTACCTACTTTGTCTTTTCTTCTTCTGGCTCTCATCTCACTTTATCCTATTGAGATTTTATAGGTTAGAGTCCCATGCTCCTCAGTTGCGCTGTAAACATTTAAGTTATATAAATATCAATAAACATGAGAGTGATAATGTTCTACTCCCTGACTATGGTATAAGATATCACAGTTAGGATCTTATGTTTCTAGTAGATAATATTTACACACAGTATCAGTATTGGTAAAGATTAAATTTATTAAAACGCACAAAAAGAATTGAGTCCCCAGAAGTAGTGCTCTCTGTACACTCTACAGATATTTGCAATGCTTTTTTCACATGTTGCCAAGTGCGGGACTAAGTAGTGCTCTCAACGGCCTGCAAATGGCGATGTTGCTGCTGCTTGCCGAAAGAAAGGCTCAGTGGCCACTTGCACTTGTATCTGTTCTTGAGGATCCTGTCGATGCATTTGTGGAGAGAAAGAGTGCTGTGGTGGTGGTGGTGAGTCTTTTGCAAGGCTGATGAATCCTCTGGAAAAAACAAGAAGAAGTCTTAGCCCCAGAATCGAGAATCAAAGAGCTGAGAGCTTTCCTCTCTACCTTGAGAGAGTGCTGCTAGTGCATGGTGGTGGTGATGGCTCCTTTTCTTCTTCTTGAGCGTCCTTGGCCCAAGCCCAAACGCAATGCCGTTCTTGCTCCTGTAGCATTGGAGCTCCACGCTCTGGACGTGGCCGAGGAGGTCCCCCGTGTAGCTCAGTGCGTTTCTCTCCAGGCTCTGCACGATCCATCTCGCCTCCTGGCTCAGCTTGTTCCCGGCCGACTCCACCTCCGCTCCAATGCGACTCACAAACGCGTCCGCCTTGTTGCTCATCTTCTCAAGCGTCGCCACCGTCTTCATCACCATGTACACGAGCGCTAGTGTCAGCATCCCCAGCCACAAATCATCCATAGCTGTCGTCTCGATCCTCATGGTCGCTCTGCTCGGGGATTCGGAGGTGGTCGTGGAAGAATTTGCTCGGGACTCGATCGATGATAGAGTTGATCGTGGAACTTAGTAAGCTTGCAAACAAGAGGGGGAAGAAGAAGTGATCAGCGACGGATCGATCGACCTTCTAAAACTCTGGACGAGCAAGCCGAACCTGGAAAGAGTGTGCTGCGGAGCAGAAACCTTTATACGGCGAGAGCCCGGCCGACCGGTCTTTGTTTTCGCGCACTCTCCACTCATGTCTACTTCAGAAATTGGCTGCTAATCGAATCTCCTGGAAAAAAAATACCGTGAGGCTGGACCACAGGGTAATATAGATTAATCACAAGATCGCTCGCATGGCGATCTCCTCCCTTAAAAATCTGCCAAAGGCTTACCCTCCATTGGGACTCTCAGACTTTTGGACCGCCACTCAAGCCGGACGTGTCGCTCAACCAGGCCCTTTTACGGAGTCCTGCCACACCCAAACACTCAAAACTTCGTTTGTCTCCAAGGAAGGAAGAAATGACCACTACTTACTTGGGCAAAGCTTTGCAAACCTTTGATTTCTTGATTCGGTGGGTCTGGCAAATTCCTCATGGGGAAAAAAAATCTTTGTACGCATTCCCTTTTCAATGATGGAAAACGAGCCTTGGAGAACGTTTGAGCTGTATCCCAAAAGCACCGGCTCTGAATGCTTGGCAAAGATTCTTTGCTTGGACAACCGGGATCGATGGTTTTCTTTGTTTGTTTTTCCAGCTTGCATTCTAAACGTGACGGCACCAAAGAGCGACGTATGGATTGTATGGAAAATACGAACACACGAACCTTCTATGAAGCTCTTTAGCAAGTTCGCGTCGGGAGCTCCATAGCGACGCGTGGAAACTTCAAAGTACTGTATGAGAACGCTTGCCAAAAGGTAGAACCTCTGATAACTGGAAATCCCAGACAATCAATCCAGCGCGAAAAGGCAATTAGAACAGCGTGGATTCCATAAGAGTCGGGGTTGGAACTTATCTGTCTGTGATGTCGATTGGGAAGACAATTCTCTCCAATCTACACCTTTGTTGTTGCATTATTTGCGAGTCACACCATGATGATGTCTAGGCTCTCTCTTTCAGTTGCATAGCTGCTGAGCTCCGGGAGAACACCACAAACGCATTTGTTCTCTTCCTCCAAGTGCATTTGACAGGACTACCTGAGAATAGACATCAAAATCATCATAGAAAATCCGATCAGGTAGAATCGCATCGATTCAAAGCTGGTGTGCAGGACTTTAACAAGGTACAAGCTTACGTAATAGGATAGATATTACCTCTACAGCACCTAGCCCTCTCGAAACCAATTCAAGACAAACATAAGCCATACCTTGGTCGAGGGAGACACGGTCTTTGAAAACTTAAGTGCTGATTTCTTGAGCCTCAGCCGATTAACACGATGTAAGCCATAGTAAAGTATCTGTCATACCTCAAGGTGTCTATCATCGGACTGAAATATATGTCCTAGCAAGAACCAAAGCATACCTCTAAAGACAAGTCCTGCATTCATGAACCATGTTAGCACAGGAAAGTGTAGAGTTATAAACAAGCTTACATAAGTACGACGAAAGCTAATTGCGACTTCCTGAAAAATCACAAAGGAACCAAACTCATCAGGGGCATTGAAAGTGTCTAAAGCGATAGAAATCTGCAAGATCGCTACCCAAAGCTGTGGAAGCTACATTTACCTGCTTGATTCGCAGGAGATCGCTGGAGAGGCTACGTACTTAACATATTGCTTCGAGCAATGGCTAACGAGTCCCCAGGAACACAAACGGACTGTGATACCATGAACTTTTGAGTCATTTTGAGAGAATCCTCTCCAGTCTGGAATGTTGTTGTTTTCTAGTGACTCGGAGGAGAGGTGAACACCAGGGATGCATTCGTTCCTCCAAAGCCAAATGAATTTGACAAGACTGCGTGAATGGACATAGCCTTTGTAGAGCCGATGGGTACAAAGCCGTCGTGGAAAACCCGATCGGGTAGAATCAGATTCAAAGTTGGCGGAGCTTGCCCCTGAGAAAAAATTTCACGACGAACGTAAGGTTACATGGGGAACTAAGGTACAGGCTTACGTGATGTAGCGCCAAAACTGAGAAGATCGCCTCTACGGCTCCAGCAGCCCCTAGGAGGTGTCCAGTGGCTCCCTGCAAACCAATATAAATAAAGCTCAGTGGAGTCCCAGAAGCGCCATACCTTGGTCGAGGAAAACGCAAGGTTTCCAGTTACTGCATGCTCCTTAAATACAGTTTTGATGGCCACAGCCTCAACTTTGTCACCTATGCTTCAAATCAACAAGCTTTAAAAGAGCAGCAGGAATCTTTGTCATACCTCGCGGAGTCGATGTTGCGTGAGCATTGACATAATCGATTTCATTGGGTTTCAGTCCGGACTAACATGAAATCGAGGTTAGATCTGGGTTTCGCTAACAAGAACGGAAGCTCACTTGCTGCAAAGCTCGATTCATAGCCAGAACAGCTCCTTTCCCATCTTCAGACGGTTGAGTGATGTGGTGGCCGTCACCTGGAAAACACAATATGTTAGCAACAGCATAACCATAGTGACGAGGTACCCGACATCCCATATCCACGGATTTCCGCGTACATTTTTGCTCCTCGTCTTTTTGCATGCTCATATTCCTAGAAACAAATCAGAAGTGTTTTTCTCAATACAAATCTTACCTCAAGAATCATAATGCCCGCACCTTCTCCAATCCTATACTTACACGAGTTAGCCTCAAACACAGAAACATCCGCACTCACTTACACAAAACCTTCACGATCACTGTCGAATGGCCGTGAAGCACGTTCGGGACATGCGTTGAATCTAGTACTTAACGCCTTTGCTCTGGGCAAGATAAAAGAATAGAAGAGCATTATATATAATGTCACTAAGAAAACGATTGCAAACACCTGCAAACCTGGAAAAGCCCGCTAGTGAAAGCGCATCGATGCTGGCCTCCGTTCCACCTGCAATCATAACATCTGCATCTCCGAATCGAACCATTCTGAATGCATCTCCAATTGAATGAGCACCACTCGCGCATGCAGTTACTGCCGCATGGTTGGGCCCCTGACAAGAAAAATAGTTTTCATACGCACAGGGACTAAAGATCTTTCCTCCCACCTTCAGCTTATACTTTATGCTAACATTTCCCGCGGCCATGTTTATCAAGATGCGAGGAACGAAATAAGGACTTAATCTGTTACTCCGCTGGCGGCATACAAACAAGGTAGGCACAAACAAAACCGATGGAAAAACTCACATAATCACGAATGAGCTGGGCCGCCTCCAAAACATCAGTTATACACCCGATGCCACCACCTATTGCCACACCCTAGAGAATTAAGACAGAACCATTACGTTCTTCTCAATGCTTGAGATGAAGAAAAAAGAAATCGCGCGTAAAAAGAAAAAGCTACCGTTCTTTCGCTGGCCTCATCACTCTCGGAAGGATTCCAATCCGCGTCAGAAAGAGCCTCAGCAGCAGCACACATTGCGTAAGCAATGAAGGGAGCAAACTTCTGCTCAGTAGAAGAAGGAAAAAAAAAAGAAGCGTTAACAAAGTATGAACTCGAAATTCCAGAAGCCTACCTTCTCGGACATCCACACATTTGCTTTGAAATCCCCGAGTCCCGTGCCGTAGGGAACAGCAGCCACGACATGAGAAGGAAGATTATTCATTACCGCGGCGCGAATCGTTTCATCTTCGTGTTCCAGCCTCAAATCATCTTGTTTGAGCGCGCGCACACCGCATTTCCGGTTGAGAAGCCTCTCCCAAGCGTAATCTACTCCACATCCCAGCGGCGATACCAATCCTAATCCTGCTCAAAACAGTTTTTCATCGATTCTCTTGTGAAATCCTTACCGGTAACAACGACGCGCCGCTGCAAGAGGATCGGAGGCTCTCCAAAATCCTTGATCGACGAGGACACAGTGCCCGCGGCTCTCGCGCGCTTCACGGAGAGAAATCTCCGCATTCCCGAGCCCTAAACCCTAAGCCCCAGGACACACGTGGCATAAGCTAAGTAAAACAGGTGGTTAGATTATAGCCGTTGAGTTTCAAAGCTGGATCTTTGATAGATAGTAAGGCAAGCCCATCTCTTGCAAGGGGACGCCCAACGCCGCTAGTTTAACCTCGAAAGCCTTGACGATAGAATCGTGTGCCTGGAAGAATTTGCGAAGAATGAGAAGAGTTGTCCTACAAAGAAGCTAGAATTAAAGCTCGTTACCTTTGTAACTCTTCCAAGCTCGTAATAGAGAGACTTGATTTGCTGGTTCTTGGTTTCTAACACCTTGTCAAACTTGTAGTCCACTTTACCGGGTTGGAGTTTCCCGGCGAGTGATTCACCAAGTTGAGCCTCCTGAAAATTTATAAAATGAGAGAGAAGATCACTAAAAGATGTACTAGATCAAGTACCTTCTTTTCCAATTGTTCTTGGACAACATGGAGCTTCTTTTCCAAGAGCATGCTCTTAAGGCCACACTTCTGTTGGACATCGAAAATGCAAGACTCGAACCTGGCGTAGAGATCGTCTTTATCTTCTTGAACCTGGAGAGGGAGTATAAGTTCGTCATGACGAAGTATTGCTTGCTTTGCCTTGTCCATTTTCTCTTGTAGGCTCCGGTACTGCCATTCAAGATGTTTTATCTGTTCGAGGGTGTCGGCGTAATGAACTCTCAGCTGTTGGAGCGCTTGCCTATCCTGGTTGAAGTTCAAGAGCTAAAAGTCCACCAAAGATTAAAAATTACCTTTTCCAAGACTTGAATGTGCTTGCGAAGTACATCCAGTTCTTTCAGGGCCTTCGTCAGGGGCTCCATTGAATGCTTGTTTTCCTGCGCAATCTCGTACATGAATTTCTCGTTTGCTTGCTCCTTCTTTTTCATGTCTGTAATGTCTTCCTACAGGCAACGAAGCGGCAATTATAGCGAATACGACAGCTTGACGAGATGTTTGGCACCTTGAGCGTCTTGATGAGATCTAAGTTGTTCTGCGTGATGTCATTGTAGTAGAATTTAATATCCGCAAACGCTTTTTCGTGCTTCTTCATGAGCTCAATAATATGCTGATTTTTTCGTTCTTCGATCTCATGAACTTCCTGCTTCTTTCGGAGTTCCGAGTCCTCCTCGATTTTCTTGCACTGCACACGTAGACAGAGTGAGCAAGCGCCTGATCAAACCGCACTCACCGACTTTTCTTTCATTACTCTGAACCAAGTCCTTAGCCTTCGCGTCATACTCTTGCCTGATCATGCTAATTTCTTTGGCGTGATCCTGATTGCACACCGCTCAGCCACAAAAAAAAAAAAAAAAAATCATTTTGAATTGCGCTACTCACCAGCTTGAGCTGTCTGATCGTATCTTCGTATCCAAGCTCCACCTCCCTGACCTTAGATTTTAAAAGACGCTGTTCATCCCTACAAAAGTCCGAGCCTTTACGAGATATGATATGCAACGCGTTTTTTTCACACAAAAGAAACCTTACAAGAGCTGATGCTCTCGCGTTGCGGCTTGTTCAGCAAACAGCTTCAACGCGATCTCATTGTCACCTTTCACTGCCCCTATGATACCTTGCTGCTCGTACTGAAGATGTCTGGTCTTTTGATTGAAAACCTGGGAGAAAAAAAAGAGAAAATGAGATAGAATCATCCAGAGAATAGTCATCCTCTCCCTACCTGCATTTGCACCCGATGCCTTTCCTCGATGCCCTGGATGTCATGATCTTTAATGAACAGCACCGCTTTGCATTGGTCAACTTCCTTCTTTTTGAGTTCATAGAATGTGTTGAGCTTGTCCTGGAAACGTAATGAGTTTAAAACGCAAGGAAGAAAAGTGTAGAGTAAGTATGATTACACGCTCAATCTGGACACGGTTGCGTGCCCGTTCCTCCTTTTCCTTTTCGGCATTTAGAGCACGAATTTTGCCTTCGAGCTCCTGTGTGCTGGGGGCAGCAGCAGCCTCTTCCACAGCCGGCGCGGGCTCCTTACCTTTGGGCGCCATGGAATTCTAAACTGCAAAACCTACGAGTGTTGCTTGAGAGCTCATCCCCAAGCAACGTGGCCGGCTGAAGCTGATGTGGCCAATACAGTTATGTGTCTTTTTCCGAGAACAAAGGAAGAAAAGAGCAGACTTACATTAAAGCATTCGAGCGACTTGCTCGTACAGATCGTGCGGCCAATTTCTGGGCACGGTGTTTGCAACAAATTTGGCGATCTGCGCAGACAAAACTGTTAATCGTTTCGCGAAAGCAAGAAACTGGTTTACCTTAGCCTTGAGAGTGCGCATATGGCCATCTCTATCGGGAACATTATCAAGGCAGATCAAAGCCGCCTTGAGAAGATCAGGCACACAAGCTTGAACAGGAGGAGATATGCTTCTCAGGTCTTCGGCACTCTTTTCCGGTGTCCATGGAGTCAGTGGAAGAAATGACAGCCTGGGAAGCTCAGCGATCGCGTCCGGATATCTCCCCAGGCGAAACAGTTTGTGGAACGCTACGATTCCTTCAAGTTGCCGGAAGGAAACTTGCTGCTCTGTTACTTGTTCAGCCTCTCGCGAGCTGCAAACTCATGAAATTGTTAGTAGCCAAAATCACGACCAAATGGCCGGTACCTTCCAGTTCCGCTTCCAGCTTGCTTTTTGTAAGTCTCCGCAATGTCGTTCCCAGCAAGGATAAGGCCTGCAACTTTGGCCTCTCCATCTGCACGGCCAGTGGCCAGTGCGCAGATTGCCTCAGAAAGCCTGCGAGTTACTATTTCTAGAGCCATTGCAAAGGCTCCAACACGTTTCAGCAACTCGATAGCCTGGAACAAAAATTAAAAATCAATACAGACTCGACGAATTGCTACTTTACCTTCTCGTAAAGGCCTGACTCTTGAGCATGTCGTGCAGCTTCAAGTAACATCTGCTGCTGCATAGTGGGATCGGGCAAAAACCTTCTCAACGCACCTTCCGACCCGATGCCGTTTGAGCCTAGCAGAAGTGCAATACCACCATCTCTTAGAAGAAGCTCGATGAGTAGCTGCTTCAACATCATGTTCCTTTGCCTCTGCTGATCATTACTGTTCTGTCCGCTCCAGGAAATAGCGCCACCTCCAATGGCAGCAGCAGCCTGAACGTAGTACTCCAAAGCCGTCGCAAGGTTGTTTTGCCGGACATATGAAAGTCCATAGTGTCGGATGATGCTTGTGATTTCTCCAACCGGACTCATTGTTCCAGGCTTTGCTTTGTTCGACGCGCCTTCTGAAAGGACACCATGGTCTGCCAAAGCAATGGCTATATGCACACCGTCTATATGGTCCCCGTCGTTGCTGATCTCTCTTGTAAGATAAAGGATGGCCGCCTGGAGTTGTAAGCTTAATAGCAGAACGTAAGGATAGACCAAAGGATCTTTGCCGTTCTTAGTATAGTAAGATGGCTCGAATTTGGTCAGGTAGTTCTGCAAATCCTCCAAAGTATAAGGTACTAATCCATCTTGGGGTGCTGGACCGCAGTCCCGAGTAATAGAAAGCATAAACCACATAAAGTCCTCGATCGTAGTGAATAGCACAGGAATGTCCCGTAGAAGACGTTCAGCTTGCTGCCTGCTACCGGAAAGAACAGCATATAGAAGCATTTTCTTCTTATCGTATCCAGCACGACCTGGCCTGTCCCCAATCCGTGCCATTTTTTCACATTCCTCAAAGGCGGCCGTTGCAGTAGCAGAAGATACTGCTCCTCCCGTGGCGATCCACTCCGTAAGCTGCAAGTTTGCTAATCAGTAGCAGCGCAATAGAAGTTTAAACGTACCAGTGGAGCATACGAACGGCTAGCTCTAGACGACTGCGCCACAAGTTTGGCTTCCTCATAATAACCAGATCGGAGGCAAAAATAAATCTGCAAAACCAGTCACACAATAATCTGCTCAGTTGTTCGAACTAATTGTTTTAGCAGTACCTGGTACCAAGTAGTATCAATTGGCGGTTGCCTATGTGTATCAGTAGCATCGAAGTCTAACAAACCATAATCTCTTAGCCGGACCTAAAGAAACTCAAACACGTCAGGTAATCTTTTGACACAACTTAAGAAGATACGCACGCGCAAAAAAGCTCGTACACGTTGTAAGTTTCCAGTAGATCCTCCAAGTGCTGCCTGTTAGAATCCGTAAGCAAACATTACGTTCTTGCAACAGATCAAAGGTCACCTGAGCAGCATGACTTTGTATTGTGTCCAGCATATACTTTTCATGACCAGCTTCCAAATGGCGGCGGGCACCAAAAACCATTTTCATCTTTCTACTAAGATGAGATGGATATTCGAAGTCCTCACCTAAAAGAGACTGACAACGCGGACAAATGTAAGAATGCTTCAGTTCTAAAGAAACCGCATACCTGAAGGAGATACCAGATTTTGGCCATGTTCACAGATTTTGTACCCATTTTCTCATCAGCAAACGCCAAAAACGTGTCTTTCAGAGTGCTCGCAACCTGCAAAACATTACAAGAAAGATATCGTTGCACACCAAAAAATGTTGCATACATACCTTGAATGGTTCACTTCGTTCTCTTGCAGCATTAAGCTTCGCAACTGCTTCAGCGTACCCCGCAGCCTTTGCATTCACCACTTGCGACGGAGTTGATAGAAACGGGTTTGGTGCGCGCATATCAGGCAAAGCCTTCACCGCAGAAGAGTCGAGAACACCAGAAACACGACTGGCTTGTTTCCCGGGAGTGCCAGAAGAAAGTGGCAAGCGACTCAAGCTATTCAAAAACTCACGCTTCTCTTTTTGCCAGTCATCCTGTAGAAAGTTCCGTCAGATAGCGAATACTAAAACACGACGTACTTCCAGTGACTTCATCATGTAGTCATCAAAACTTCGAACGTTGTCTCTTTGAGAATTCAAAATCGCTGTAAGCATTGACATTTCATGCACCTAAGGCAAGAAAAAAAAACTGTGAAAAATCAGAAAGAAATCCGAAGCCAGTAGACCACACCTGCTGTAGATACTCCTCCACGGTCGTCGCTTCCACAGGGAAAACATCTTCGAAGCTTGTCTATGGAGAGAAAGAAAAGAAAAACAATCAGCTCTAAACGAAAAGTCTCAGTCGCCAAACCTTGAGCTCAAACGCCTTTAGCTCTCTGGCAAGTTGATCGGCATTTATGCCTTCTCTCGCTAGTAATCTATAGCAACACCCAAGCTGCTAAACCAGAAAAGAAAAATTCCCGCTTACCGAGTAGCGGCAATAGATTGGCCAGTGGCATCGTAGCGATTCGTCCGGGCCTTAAGCTGGCGCGAGAGAGACTCTAGCTGATCCAAGCTCCTCTGCGCAAGCAAGAGAGAAGCCCCGAGAATCAAAATGCAGGCCACAAACGCAAAGATTTCTTGCCTGGAGCGGTGGAAATGGCGCCGCCGGCGCGGCCGATTGCAGCAGCTGCGACGAGTTCTGGAGAAGATCCGCCCAGCTGCGCATGTCCTGAGAACCCCCCGCCATCGCGAGCGATAAACCCTAATGCCGCAAACCCTTAAACAAATGTTACTTCTTATTACTTGGAACGAGGAACGATCACACTCTCTCGACGAGAGACGAGGGCTCTGGACGACAGCCCAGGGAATAAACCCTGCGAATCTTTGGGAGGCCAGTGAGCGTCATAGCCTCCTGGAACGAAGAGCCGCGGAGAAGAAGCCTCGGGACAAAGTTCTTCTTTGACGAGTTTTTGGCCACTTCCACCGCGCCTTTGTTGCTTTCGTTCTCGTCTTTGGAACGTCCCAGCTTTAGCGGCTTCTTTCGACTGTGGAGCAAAGCCACGGCGGTTCCAAACGCTTGGAGCGTCGACAATGGCTGCTGGAAGCTCACAGAGAATGTATCGTCGTCATAGAGTGGCGACAATCTGAGAGCTACCTCGTGTTTCTTTGCCTGGCAAACAAACACAAACTTGAGCCACCAAAGAAAAAAACCAAAGCGTGTTTTTGAGCTTACCTGGAGCACTACGTTGATGCCACCACTTTGTTCTTGAGCAGCCTTTGCCGAGCACCTCAAAGTTTGCTGGTTTTCGAGTAGCACCAATCCACAACCCAAGTCCCAGCTTCCACAGTCGCATTTGCCTCCACCCCTCCACCTTTCGAGCAAAGGCAGCGGACCGGGGAGTCCGTAAGCCGGGCAGCCATGCTCGCCGGCTGGGAGAACCACCGTAAGGCTCATCTTCTCGTAAGTTTCTTCGACCAAGCCGGGAGCATTGTTTCTCTTGAGCCTGCTCTCCCAGCTACTAAGTTGGCTGTTGGTGCTGTTCGATCGCTTCTTCACTCCGATCGGAACTCTCGTCACCACCGCCGCGACCTCCACAAAACTCGTCCGGCTGGAGAAGCTCCCTCCCGTCTCCGACCCTCTGAACGAGAAAGAGTCGCCTAGCTTTGAGCCTTCCTTTCTGTTGTGCTTGAGAAATCCAACCGAGGACCAGTGCTTTCCCGGTGTGCCAGACTTCTCCGCTACTCGAGGAGACTCGGACGAGCTGCTCGTGACACAACCGGGTGATTCGCTCGGCGTTGCGTCCCACGAAGAAAAGCTGAGCCTCCTGCTGGAGCTGACAGCAAGTTGCTGCCGGGGGCTGCTCATCGCTACTTGATCTTTCCCACGGGCCTCGAACAGCACAAAGTCCGAGTCCAAGTAATGTCTGTTCCTCCCGCCGCGATCCATCTCGGGAATCACAGTGCTGAAGATCTTCATCTTGCCGAGGACTTCCACCGCCGGCTTGTCTTTCTTTCCCCACTGCCTCCACCCCGATCGCTCTTTTCCCTTGCACTTGTACGAGGAAAACACGAACACCTGGTCGCAAAGTTCCTGGTCCTCTGATATGTCCTGGCTTGCGGTCTTCGCGACGATCAACTCCTCTGTATCGTCCAGCCATAAGTTATAGCTGATGTCTCCATCTTTCGCTAGACACTGAAGAGACCCCTTGACGAACTTGGCCGGCATGATCGAAGAACTCCGCTGCTGCTTGATCGCAAAAGCTTGCTCGGGCAGTAAACGATGGCGGCTCGCTTTGGACGAAACCAGCACAAGCGACCGGCATGCTACCTCGGGAATAAAACTCGCTGCTCTCGCTGTGAAACGCTGCCTTTGGAAGAATTCCAGTTCCTTCTTCGTATCCTTCCCAGCAGTAGTAGTGGATGATGTCGATGATCCTTGGAAGACGTCGAAAGATTCGGCGCTTCTCGAGCCATTCCCGGAGGAATTCTTCTTCTTTGATCCACTGTTTCGTCTCGAGACTTTCATGTGAGCGTTGAAGAAATCAAACTTGCCAAAAACACTGCCAGCTGACTCGGTGCTTGGCGACGAGCATTCCACGAAAGAGTTTTCCAGCCTCCGCACTGTTCGTCGAAACCGGACGCTCCGCAACGCATCCAAGTTTCTTGGGTCGTCGTGATGCGAGCTTCTCTCATCGCTGCTCGCTACTGCCGAGTGAAAATCCGGTGAAGAGCTCGGGAGTGGCGATCGGAACGTCGAGCTGATCGTCGAGACGGGACTTGGCGGATGCCGGTGATCAAACACCGAGAAAGCGTTCGTCCTAGCACGACGGCCCAGCAGCGTACCTTGGGCCCGATCACTACTCTCGCAGGAATTGCAGCTCATCCTGGTATCATTCTGCCTCAGCGCTTCCTCCGCCTCCACGAGCACTTGGTCCTCGAGCCTGTCCAGGATTTGCAAGAGCTCCGAGCACGTCTCTCCTTGCGGCGAACACATGATGGCCGAGTTGAAATTCCTGAGGATGCGTGCAAACACGGACTGGTTGATCGCGGGAGAGATCTCTTTCAGCAGCTTGTTGGCATTCTCCAGGCAGTGGATTTCCCCCAAGAACTTGCGCAAGCGATGCTCCTGGCTTTCTTCTTCTCGCAGCTCGGGCTTCTTACTCGGAGAAATCACTTCCATAGCCGGGCCTCAGCTCTCCCATTTGGCCCCCGAGAAGAAGAAAAGCTCTGGATTTCCAGGAATCATCGCTGCATCGCAATGGAAAGAGAGAAATTTTAGGACCGCTCTGGCAAGAATGTCGATCGAAACAGCTTCAGTGCAAGAAACTCGCTAACGCCATACCTGATGATCACTGGATCGATCGGAAGAACAAACGCGGGCCCGCCATAGCTCCCTGGAAGAACTGCCGAGAAGTAAAATTTTCTCGATGGAGCTGGATCATCGGCGCCAGCGCCAAGCCGGTATCGGCATTGCTGCGATCGCTCGCTCGCTCGCTCGCTCGATCTACCCTTTTCCCTTTCCCTCCCAAGCGTTTCTTGAATTCAGGGCAAGGTAAAAATGCTTGTTACCGCGGAGGTAAAATCCGTGTCGTCGAGTAGAAACAATAGAAAAGTCAAGGTGAAAGTGAGCTTGACGGGCAGTGACGCGGCAATTGACGGCGGCGTGGTTGGGGCGTGGTTGGTTATATTCCAGGACGCCGTGAAGAATCATTGGCTCCCGGGCATCACATGATAAAAGTGACCGCCCGTCAAGAAGTGAACGTTAAGCTTCTTCACGCCCGTCGGGGTGTCCTTGTAACGAATTTTTGGGCCGTATGTGGCCATCAAAGATTACGGATGTGGTACAGTATATTGGACCACGGTTAAATACAAGATCTATTTTGGCAGGATAGTTGCCGCATTTACGAGCCTGATATCTTGCACACGTGGCGATCTCCCGCCCGTCGACGCTGTTGCCCCAAGAAGTTAATGGATAGCATCGCCAACTTTGAATGCCACAAGAAAGTTTTTAATGTTGGTGGAGGCTGAGAAGACTCGAAAGATTTAAAGGAGTTTATTTAGATAGGCATAGACTGCTTCCATTCTTCCATTGCGTCAAAGATTTTTGGCGTCACTTTGTCATACTGCGGGGCGGCGGGGACTGTGCGCGTTCGACTCCTCTCGCCAACACCGGCTAAATTAAACAAATTTTTTTAAGGTCCTGGGGTCAATGGCCTGATTGATCATTGCATGCCTCGACCCTAGAAAAGAACCATGCAATTATATTATTTGCATCGTGGTGGATTGGAAGGTTAAAAAAACTCGGGATAGCAACTCTTCGGGAGCTTTAAATAAGGTTTTGGAGGGAATTTTTGATCATGGGCAATTTTCGCAGTCACGCAAAGTACCGGAGGCTGACCGGCATTTTTGGGTATTTGCAGAGTCAAAAGGATTAGACTATACCAGCGATTCAAAAAAATTTAAATCCTTACGTAGAGCTCGACCTATAATCTGAGACTGTAAGTACATACATTTTCAGCAAAGAAAGCTATCATACTGACCCACTGATCACTGGCTGCAAGAAAAGAGATCCATCATCCAATCCAAAAAATGCCCTTTGGGGCACATTTCCCGCTCCCTTTTCGTTTGAAACAAAGCTGCCGCTCAAATTCGAAAATTTTGTCCGGGAATCTTTCTGTTGGGCGCTGTGCATTTTAGGGCTGACAACGACGGCCACGATCGACGGCTCTGATGGAAGCTCTGTTTCTAGGGCTTGCGAGATAGGGCTCGAGAGGAGAAATGCAAGCGCTGAGGGCCACCGTAGCTGCGGCGCGCAACACCAGGCCATGGAACAAGGCGCAGATCCGTGAGATTCATCCGCGCGATGCCGAGGTAAGGAGCTTTTCGATCGATTGGAATTTGATCGAATAGATTGATCGCAATTGCAGCTCTTGTCCCCGGATCCAGCCCTCGCTCCTTTCAAGAGCAATAAACCCACCGCGAAGAAGATGCAAATGGTGGGCGATGCTACAATTGTTTTGCTAGGACTGGGTAAGTATCCCATTTCGTTTTCTTCCAACTGGAGCTTCTCAATGCCCTTCCTTTTTTTTCCCAGGCTTTCTCTACGAGATCCACTATCGATGGCAGAAGAAATGCGACGAAGCAAAGGAATCGACGTAAACTGTGTACAAATTCTAAATAAAAAAGAAAAAAAGAGGAAAAACGCTGCTTCACAAGCACTCACTTTTTTTTTTCTCTTCACTGCTACTAGCCTATGCTATCAAAATTTTTTGGACATCCTCGACTTACATTTAGAACGAGTTCACCCTCCTCAGCTCCACTCGCCTGGCCTTGGCGTTTTTCTTGGAACGTTTCAGCACCGTCAGCATGTCTATCACCTGAGAAAACAAAAACAATGGTTTTCGATTTCGATCGAGAATCTAGCGTACCTTGGCCCTGTACCTTGCATCCTCGGCCTATTACCATAAACCCAGCGAGAAACCACTCTCTTAGAAGTTAAAACTAAGCAAAGCTTCTCTTTTACCTGTTGCCTCTTGAGCTTGTCATTCTCTTCTTTGAGCAGCGTTACCTCTGCTTCAAGCTCTGCTGTGTAAGCCTGGCGATCAAATAAGGCAAAAGAAAAACAGAAGGGGCAAATTTTTAGAAAAGAATCCAGCCAAAGTCTTTAAAAAGTTGGATTTTTACCTGTTTCCTGGCCCTGGAACGCGCAGCCGACTCTCGGTTCTTTATCATCCTCCGCTGCCTTCGCTCGGCAACTTTGTCCACGTACTCGTCCGGCTTGTGGAAGGCGTCTCCGTAGGAAAGGACCTGGCCACCGCTTGGAACCATACAGCATTCCTCGATCTTGGTAACGAAAGCTCGCAATCTTTTGGAGCTGGAATTGGCGGCGCTGGGATCCATTCCCTGCATGTAAGCTAGTTCCAGATCATCCCTCTCGCGCTTGTGAGGAGCAGGCCCCAAGTCTGGGAACGTCGATCCAATCCCCGTGGGAGCGCTGTCGGCCACCCCCGATTTGACGAGGAATTCCTCCAGCGTCATCTCGCCCAGCGTGCGCTGTGGAGCGATGCCGGACTCCGGCGCTTCCGTGGACGACGCTGCCGCTGTGCTCGTGAGCTTACCCTCTTGGATTTCCCTCCAGACCTCCTCCACCGAGAGCTTGATCTCGGACGAGGAGGGATTCTCCTCTTCCTCCTGCTCGGACGAGGAGGGGAGCGAGGGCTGCGACTCCTCCTCGCCCGTTGCCGCCACCAGCAGCTCGTCGATGTTCATGGATGAGAACTTCTTCTCCGGCACGCCAAAGCTCTTGAGATCGTCCAAGACTGGCCGCACTGGCGAGGAATTGAGATACTCGGCGCTCACGGCCCCCATTTCCCCTCAAGAATCGGAAAGATTCCAAGACTGCTCGATCAAGAGGCGAAATCTCGCGATTCCTAGCGGCAGCTCGCCTCGCAGCCGCATTCCCGCCCCTCGATCCAAGAAAGCATCGCGCGACGCTGCGATTGCATGCGAGGCGATCGACTCCGCTGCCAAAGAAGAGAAATTCCGCTACGGCATTTGGAGCCAGAGGGATCGAGAGGGCGGAAGAGAATCGCGACAGGAAACGGGAAAGACGAAAGAAAAACCCTAGGGCACCCTAATTAATATGGCAAGTAAAATTGCCCGCCATAGCCAGAGCTTCAACATAACAAAAAAATATTTTTTTCGAAGAACCCTAAAATTTATCTCTTGAAGTTTAGGGTTTTGGGGAGCGATGGCGGACACCGTCAATGCCTACCTCGAGCGCATGCTCCCGGAGCTCGAGGATCTAGAGAAATGGGGCCTCTTTACGCGCTCGGAGATCAAGGAGGTCGTGCGCCGGCGGAGGGAATTCGAGTATCAGCTCAAGCGGCCGTCGAGGATCCGGGACGATTTCTTGCGGTATGTGGATTACGAGACGAAGCTGGAATCGCTGCGACGGCTGCGAAAGAAGGTCGTGGTTAGGGATTTGAATGCCGCCGGGAAGAGATGGAGCGGGCATATGTCCGATGGGGCAAGCGCGATCAGGATTATCAGCATTTACAAGCGCGCAGTGGCGAGATTTGGTAGCGACATGAGCTTGTGGCTGAAATTCTTGGAGTATTGCAGGAAACATTCTCCCAAGCAAATGCGTCGGGTGAGCGATCGTGTTTATCATTTGTAGCTCTTTACTTATCTCCGCATTCTTACAGGTGCTGGCAAGAGCTCTCCAGCTTCATCCCAATATCCCAGGATTGTGGATGTATGCCGCGTCCTGGGACTTTGAGCACAATCTCGACGTCTCTGCTGCTCGAGCGCTCATGCAAAGAGGACTTAGGATGTGTCCTCACTCGGAGGATCTGTGGCTCGAGTACTTCCGCATGGAACTCTCTTACGCTCAAAAGCTAAAGTCGCGAATGCTGGTGCTGGGCATCGAGTCCGAAGAGATCGACGCTGGAAAGGAGCAACGAGAGAGTGATTTGAGCGTGAAGCTGGCGTGGGTGATATTTAAGAACGCCATTGTTGCGGTTTCATCCAGTGCAAGGTTTCGGCAAAGGTTCGTCGAAGTTCTTGACCGGTTTGCGCTGGTGAAGTCGACTATCGCAAACGAGATCTACGCAAGTATGACGAGGGACTTCTCGAAGGACGAGAATTGCTGGGACTGGAAAGGAAAGTATAAATTCCAGACAACAAGCTCTTGGAAGGATGCTGTGAAGGTCAGTGCGATCTGTCTTGCGGTGGCATCACATCTTCTTACCATCTATTTCACAGGTTTATGAAGAAGCAGTGGGTGTTGTTTCGTCGGCTCGGATGTATGAGCTGTATGCAAAGTTTCTCGAGGGATTGCTGGATTCTGGGGACGAGCGAGTTCCTGAGTCCCTTCTTGAGCTCTATGACCGTGGTGAAGAAGTTTGTGCGAGCATAAACTTTTTGGAAGGTCACGTTCGCTTGTTGACGAGAAATGGCTTCCTAGACAGGGCAAGGGCCCTTACTGAGCAATTCTGCAACGGTCCATTACGTTCAAGCTCCAGGCTATGGGTGTTGAGGCTTACGTTGGAGATTCAACACGGCGGTTTACAGATGGCTGACATTTCTAAGCTGTTTTTGAAAGCCTTGCAGTTCGTCCAGGCCTCAGAGGGAAAGGACATCTGGAAAATGGTATTTTTATTGTTATCCTGTATGTTTTAGCGCTAACAGTTTTCTCCCGGCAGGCTTTGGAGTATTTTTCCGGAATGGACACTTACCTTGACATAATACTACGGCATCTGGAAACTGCTCTCGGGGTCAAAGGTGGCGGCCAGGAACTTGGTGCTGTCGCTTGGTCTGCAGTAAGCTGGTTCTTACATTTCGACGGTGTTGAAAAGGCTCGGCAGCTCTACAATAGGTACACTTTGATCCAACGGTTTCCGGCTAGGAACCAACACTTCCTTTCAGATTTTTGGTGCTACCAGGTCCAAGTCTTTATTTATTCAAGCGATGCATTGGCCTCGAGGCTGATAGAGGAGCACTTGGTGATCAAGAAGCAGTAAAATGCATGCGGAGGCTTTTCGACGCTGCGCTTGAAATATATGGTAGAGAAGATGTTGGCATTTGGTTGGATTACTGTGCTTTGGAAAAGAAGGTACTAGATATCATTTGCTTAATCTCCCGATATCTTAAAACTTTTGACCAGGTTGGAAATGCTTCTAATGCAAGTACCGTGTACTTCCGAGCGAAAAAGACATTAAGTGACCCGTCTTTGTTTATACAAAGACACCAGCTTTTGTTTGCATGACTCGTGAGGTTGGTTCGTAAATTTTATCCACTTGTTTGACATAACCTTCCAGATGCAAGCAAACAAAGGTGAGAAACCAAATCTGGAGCTGTTTTGCAGAAGCTCTTATGGCTGAGCTAGACTAGACTGCAAACATCTAACAAGAGTAATACAAGAGTGGCGGATTTAGCCGGTAAACTCCTTCCGAAGTTGGGATATTGTCTGCTCGTTTAGTTTGAAGGATTTTTTCAGAACTTCGTCGGAGATACCTGAGCCGAAAAGCGTAGAACCCAGCCGCTCAGCACCAGGATTCTGGCTGTTAAACACAGCCAGGAATCGAGCCGGGTGCGCATCGTCCAAGTTAATCTGAAAATGGACAAGGCCTCTGGGAAAGACGAAGACGTTCCCCTTTTCGAGTGTTCTCGAGAAGAGGTTATTGCTGGACACAAATCCCGCCTGAACCTTACCTTCGAGAAGGAAGAAAACTTCGGTTGAGCGTGGATGGACGTGTGGGGAATTTACAGCTCCAGGTCCCATTTCACCCCGGGCGAGACTTATCCCGGCGGTGTTGAGGCCTGGAAACTGTTCGACGTTGAGGAGGGTGACAACGAACACGTCAGGAGTAGTGACGGGCTGGACAGAACTTAGAAGACGCGAGATGAAGTCTTCCTCGGACACCGTTTGCTTACAAGCGAAGCCATTCATGGAGACCGTGGAGTTGAGATCTGCAACACACAGGTTTTGAAGAGGATCCGGGTCACTGGCCAGGACGGATGCGAACAACAGAGAGCAAGCAACAAGCAGGAGAGAAGTAGCCACACGGTCCATGCTGCTGCAAAGATCTAGATCAGGTCCCTTTTATTTCCAAGGTGAATGACTAGTTCCAACCTGGAAGACTAGTTCCAACGTGAAAGACTAGTTCCAACGTGGGATGCGGAGCCGGCACTTCATTTCAACTTTGCTCCAGTAATCTTTGTCAGGTACTTGTGCTGACAAAATTTTAGTTCTTGTAGGCACAAGTCGCTATCCGTGCAACGCTCGAATTCTTGTTGGGGGTATGGGATTCTGATCACCAGCTTTGAAGCAGTAGGGATTCCAAAGCTGCAAGGAAAACAAAAAAAAAAATTTAGTTCAGTTGGTGAATTGATGGTTGACTTCGTCCATGAAGGTTGGCGGCACGGTTTCTCTCAAACTCTTGGCACTAGGATTGACAGCGTCAGCGCCAAGCTAGTCCAGCCGTCTCAAGGCGGCGGAAAGTCTTGGGGCCTACTTCATTCTTCGCGCGGAGAAGCTTCGCTGCGCATCAGCGAGCCGCCGCCGAAACTATCAGGTACTTCGTGCTTATAGTACTTCTACAATGCGAGGCTTTCTGATCTTACAGCATTTGTTTGAACAGAGATCCCGCGTATGTTAGAAGTCGTCGAGGACGCAAATTCAAAAGCGCGTGTTTTTCTCACAAAATATACACGCTGACAGCTTTGACCGAAAAGAAGATATTGAATGGTAGAGTCCACAGCGATGGTGAGGATCTCTACTTTATCTGTTCTAACACAAGCTTTTCCTTACCATCAGGGAGTAAAGCTGTGCTTGAGCTCGTTAATGACGGACTGATTGAGCCTGAAAGATGCAGCGAGCACGGCATCTGGGATCCCAGAACCAAACAGAGTAATCTCCAAGCGCTCCACTCCTGGATTCTGGCTGTTAAACGTGGCGAAAATTGTTGCAGGAGTGGCTCCAACATTCCACTGGAAGTGGACGAGGCCTCGAGGGACAACAAAGAGATCGCCCTTCTGGAGCGTCTTGAGGAAGAGCTTGTTGGTGGTGTCCACAAAGCCGGCCTGGACGGTTCCCTCCATGATGTAGATGAGCTCGGTGGCTCGCGGATGGACGTGGGGTGTGTTTACTCCTCCGGGGCCGAGATCTACACGATTCACAGACAAACCCTGGGTGTTGAGAGCTGGAAGCTGCGGTACTGTGACTCGGGATGCCACAAATCCTCCTGGAGTACTCACTGGCTGGACGTTGCGAAGAACAGTGGAGGTAAAGTTGTCCTCGCGCGCTGATGCTGTTGTCAAGCAGGCTGCTCCATTGACACTGGTGGAGGAATCCAGGTCGGCGACACAGAAATCTTGCACAGGATCGGGGTCGGCTGCTAAGATTGCTGTGGCAGCGAGCAAGGAAAGAACAAGCGAGAGCAGCGCCATGTCCAGGTTTTTCTTTGTTCTTTTTCTCGAGACACTGATTATTTATAAGGATTGAGTACGAGACGGAAGCGCGTTTCTAGAAATTTTGAGATTCAAAGTCTCGTGTTTTACATGATGCAAATATTATCATTATTAAATGCATTCAGAGAACTGTACGTTTACAATTAATATTAGTAGCCCATACGAAAATATACATTTAATTGTAAAATAAAAAATAAATCAAAATATGTATTAACCTTCAAATTAAATAAGTTCTCTTTTCATATATTAATTATTAGTGCTCGGCATTCCTCTTCTGCTTGACCTTTCTATCATATACACCTCTTTCAATTGTACATCCTTTGGACTGCTTTTTGCAAGCCTGTCCTGACCATGTAGAGTTCCATATATACTTGATCCACTGTAATGTTGTCTTAAAAGTAAATGGTTCTCAATCAGGATGCAAACAAAAATCACCTATGACATCTTGTCAGTGTAGTCCTCATATGCAAAGTTGAGTGCTTTAGCCTTGCCAAAGAACCTAATAACTACTTGGTCATAGGTCTGGTCACAATAATGTTAGAGACAATGTTGTACCTATTATAATTAGAGAGTGAAATTTTAGTTTTCTTAAACCTTACTGCCTCCTCTTGTGTCTCATATGCCCCTGCACTTGGAAATGCAATATAAACAATGGCTCTTGAAACATAAAATAAAAAATTCACCAAGTGGAATCATATGATAGGCAAGCCTGCAATAAAGATGTAACCTAATGTTAGAATGGTCACAAGAATATTTTGAAAATATTCTATGTCATGTGTGGCCTAGAGTTCACTCTTTGTTCATTTCATTAGTATCAGAGTAGCACATTCTTTTAGGGATGGCAGATGGAGTGGCATGAAAAGTATGGTGTTAGTGATAATGGTTATGATGATGAGGAAAAAATTCTTGATGATATTGTTATGTGGTAAGGTTGTTAAATTTTTTAAGTTCAAAGCAAGATTAAAAAGGTTAAAGATTTTATCAATCTTATTAAGGATTTCTTACTTTGCATGGACCCTCAAAGTTTAAATCAATCTCATGATCATGATTACCTTTGGTACGTCAAACATGCCAAGTTAGTATTATTTTTGATTCAGGTGTTATATACAACTTGTTGAGCTCCAAGATGGTGAAGAAACTTGGTTTGCCTATGAAAAAGTGTTCAATAATTTACAAGGTGGTTATAGCAGATGGACATAGCACTCGTATTTATGGTGAATGAGCTTTAACTGCTCCTTTGATGGTTAAAGGAATTCCTGACCATCCTTTGTTCCGGGTTATGGATCTTGGTTGCATAAATATTATTCTTAGGAATGAATGGTTTTGTGATAGAAAGCAAAGGATTGATTAAAAGTGTAATGTTTTGTGTATCAAAGTTAGTAGCACTATAGAAAATATTGTTAAAATAGACAATAATGATACTGTATTGATTAATGCTTTGAAATTGGTGACTTGCATGCCTGAAATAACTAGTTCTTTCTTAGTGTACCCATTTCTTTCTAATATGATCATATCTAATTTGGAGTATGTTCATAGGCATGGGGCTTAGATGGATTGCATTCAAGAGGAGTTCCATGACATATTTCTAGATGAGTTGTTTGATAGTTTGCCTAATAAACATAGAATTTAATATGAAATTGACTTGGTTCCTAAAGTTACTCCTTATTAGTAACAACTAACTTGTATTAGTCCTGTTGAAGATAAGGAGATTAATAGCCAGCCCTATGAGTACATTCAGAAGTGGTGGTTACGGATAAACAAATCTCCTTGGGATGCTCCAATGGTGATGGTCAAGCAAAAAGATGGTATATAACATCTTTGCATGAATTACAAAGGATTGAATGATAGAACAGTGAAAAATATGTTCCTAATCCCTAGTATCAATGATTTGCTCAATTGTCTTTGTGGTGCTTGATATTTTTCGAAGATTGATTTGAAGCAAGGATATCATCAAATTTGTATCAAGCCAGCAAAAACCACATTCCAAATAAGGATGGGTCATTACGAGTTTTTGGTGATACTATTTGGTTTGACAAATGTTCTTACAACTTTTTAGAGATTAATGAATTAAGTTCTATAACCTTACTTGGGAAAGTTTGCAATTAATTATTTTGATGATATCCTAATATTCAACGAACATGACATGCATATGTGAAGTGTTTTACAGCTTTTAAAGGACAACAAGCTCTACTCAAAATTATCCAAGTACAAGTTTTTTTTGGAGGAGATTCGATATTTCAAGCATTTGATTTTAGTGCATGGAGTAAAGTTGATCTTGCAAAGATCTATGTTGTGGTTGATTGACCTATACCTTTAGCAATGCATGATCTTCGTAGTTTCTTTGGTATAGCTGGAGTTTTTCGACAATTTGTAAAGGATTTTTCAAAGATAGTAGCTCCCTTGATTGATCTTCTCCAAAATATGTCAAAATATACTAATATTCATGGTTAGGATAAGAAATATCAAATAACATTTCAACATTTGAAGAAATATTGCATCTCTACTCTTGTGTTGAAGATTTTGTATTTTAAGTATTTTATTGTTGAGACAAATTAACATTGCTATTGGAATTGTCTTACTTCAAGTTGGATATCCTCTTGCTTACACGAGCCACAAATTTAATGTAATACAACTAAACTAGCTTACTTGACACCAAGAACTGTATGTTATAATTGCTACTATAAAGGAATAACAACATTATCTATATAGATCAAACTTTCATGTGAGTGCTACTATTGGGCAGCCAAGAAATTTGGAAACCACTGCTGAGGAATCACACTCTCAATCACAGGCATCCCATGCTAGTGCCAAGGGCAATGCTGATTCCCTGCCTCGCGCTACAGCTCGTAGTACCTGGCCGTGCCCAAGACAATCCAGTCGCCATAGCAGCCATATCCGCCACGTCGGACAAACGCGCTTGAACCCTATTTTTCAACCAAATGCGAGGCAAGAACTTGGCGCGGGAGGAATCCCTGGCGCTGCCAATAGAGCTTCTGATCCGGGAATGCACGAGCTCGGGTGTGCTCTGCGATGCGAGGCGGCTGCATTCGCAGATCGTGGCGAGCGGGAGGGATGTGGGACGGGACAAGTTCCTGGCCAATCTGCTCGTGCAAATGTATGGCGCTTGCGGGAGCGTGGAGGATGCCGCGGTGGTTTTCCGCAGCATCCAGCAGCCCAATTCCTTCTCCTACAACATGATGATCGCGGCGCTAGTCCGCAACGGCTGCGTGAGCTACGCGAGGGATTTGTTTGACACATCGCGGCTCGTGTTTGATACGGTCTCGTGGAATGCCATGATCAAGGGCTACATCGACAGCGGATGGATTGACGAGGCGAGGCAGCTGTTTGAGAAGATGCCACACAAGAGCACGTACGCCTCGAATGCTCTCATTGCAGCATATGCCCGGACTGGGCAACCTGACGATGCCCAGCGCTTGTTTGAGACGATGACAGTGTCTGCCCGGCGTGATTTTTTCTCGTGGACGGGGCTCATGACCGCGTGATCTCAGGGTGGCGCCGTTTCAAAAGCAAAGAAGGTGTTTGATGCAATGCCCCTGTGGGACGTTGTGTTCTGGAACGTTGTGATATCAGCACATACCCAGAACGGGCATCTTAAGAAGGCAAAGGCTTTGTTCGACGATATGCTAGAACGAAGCACCATCTCGTGGAACGCAATGGTGCAGGCTTACTGCCGCAGTGGGTTTCTCGACGAAGCGTGGCTTTTTTTTTGAGAGCACTCGCGACAAGAATGTGGTGTTCTGGACGGGTATGCTGACCGCGTTTGCTCAGAAGGGTTATCTGGGCTAAGCCGCCAACTTGTTCCACACAATGCCCGTTCGGAACGTAGTTTCTTGGACTGCTATGCTTCAGGGGCTTGTGCATCTGGAAGATCTCGATGAGCCGGTTGGCTTTGCTGGAAAGATGCCACAACACAACGACATGGCATGATCATAGCTCATGCCCAGCACGGGGACACGAGGGCTGCCAAAGCCTGGTTCGATGGGATGAGCTTCCGGAATGGTGTTTCCTGGGCTGCGTTGGTGGTTGGATTCTCGCAAGGAGGATGCTTGGCAGAAGCGCAAGCCTCGTTTTCAAGGATGCCTTTCCGGGATGCGGTGTCATGCAATGAGATGATACTTGCGCTCGGGAGCGCGGGGCTGATGCGAGACGCAAAGGTGGTGTTTGAAGAGGCGATTCTCGCGTGAGACGTTCTAACTTTTACTGCGATGTTGACGGCCCACGCCCGAGCTGGAAACGTGAAAGAGGCGAGACTTTGCTTCGAAAGAATGCCGCACCGCGACGTGGTCTCGTGGAATTCCATGATCCAGGCCTACGCCCAGAACGACTGCGTAGACGAAGCACTGGACTTGTTTGCGAAAACACCCGAGCCGGACCTTGTGTGCTGCAATGCCATGATCCACGCCTTTCCTCGTAATGGTCTGCTCGACGACGCAAGATCTCTCTTTGACAGGATGGCCACCAGGAATCTACTGACTTGGACTGGGATGATCACGTCCAGAAAGCCATGCAAGTCTTCTCGAGCATTCCGGACAAGAAGGACGTGGTTGTGTGGACGGCTATGGTGGCGGCGTATGCCAACAACGGAGACATGGCAGGAGCTCGAACGGTGCTGGACAGGATACCTTGCCGAGACGTCCCGGCTTGGAATGCTGCGATCACGGGCTATGCCCTCAGCGGGTATCCCAGGCAAGCACTGGATCTCTTTGCCACAATAGACGTGGAAGGACTGAGAGGAAGCGAGGTAACTTATATCGAGGTCTTAGATGCGTGCGGCAAACATGTCCTCTATCCGACACGGGACAGAGATTCACGAAGGCTTGGCTGCTGGCTGCTCGGACAACGCAAACTCGATCAAAGTTGGCAATGCGTTGCTGAGCATGTATGGCAAATGCGGCCGGCTGGATCGAGCTTGGGAGATCTTCGTGTCCATGCAGCAGCAGCAGCAGCAGCAGCAGAAGCGTCATGGCTGCAAGCAGGAGGAGCTCGTGTGCTGGAACGCGATGGTGGCGGCGTATGCACAGAACGGCCACAACCCCGAGGCGGTGGAGCTGTTTCGAGTGATGAATGTGGAGGGCGTGGAGCCGGACGAAATCACGTTTGTGAGCTTGCTGTCGGCGTGCAGCCATGGCTGGAAACAGCGAGGTGGAGCTTTAAGTCGCACCAACGAGACTACCAGGGAGTTGACTCGGCTCCCACGCACTACATGTGTGTGATCGACGGACTGGGACGAGCAGCCATGGCCGAGCAAGCCGAGGACTTGATCCGACATATGCCCTTCCACCCGGATCCAGTGGCGTGGGCGACTCTGTTGGGTAGCAGCGGTGTGGATGTGGGTGGTGACTGAGTGATGGAGCTCGATCCAGCCATCGCTGCCGTCTACGTCTTGCTCGCAAACATCCACTCCAGGGACGAGGAGTAAGCCAGTTGGATCTCCTTTCCAAAGCTTTCGGAGAATGGAGACGGGGCGCAGCCGCGTTTCAGAGCTCGCCATCTTCAAGCTGCAACGACGGTGAGTATAAACTCGCTTCTCCTTGCGCTACTACTGGCTTTGTTTTCTTCTATCATGGCGACACTTTAGTCGCCGGGTGCAATTCATTCAACAGTCGTCGGCCAGGTCCTCCCGATCAAAAGATCTCAAAACAAAAATCTCCACTGAAAAGCTTGTCTTTTTGGTGATTATTGCAGGCCGGAGTCGCGAGAAATGCGGCCGAGTGCATGGCCAAACTCGCCTTCGTTCTCATCAGTGTCGTAGGGGACGAAATAGCTGGTAAAGGAGGCAATGATCTTTCCAAGTCGGATTTCTTCCTAGGAAATGCTGTGGTGGATCACTAGAAGGCTCTGGGCCTACCGACAAACGGTAGTAGCTCTCTCTTCGTTTTGCTCCCAGTGTAGAAAACCAAAAAAAAAAAAAGCCTTTTTGTGAGTCATAGCTCATGAATTATTACGTTACAGCCCTGACGATACTGGAAACTGATGCTGGCTCGAACCACACTGGAACATTTGCTTGCTTCGCCACTGGAGTTTCTCCGTTAGCAATTGATGATCTATGAGAATTGGATAACCACTTACACTTGCAAGCGGTTTCCAGTGACTCGGGAGTGAGGTTGGCATCCAGCAACACAGCCGGTGCTGCTTGGATGAGAATTGTGAGATCCATTCCGAGGTCAAGTGTTTCTCCTGGAAACTTGATCAGGAGAAGAAAGTACTGCGGACGAAACTGTTTAGTGTCCTCGCTTATATATTGCCAAACGAGAAAGAACTGGCTGGTTTGGGAGAAACACTATCGAGTCTTGACACTGCTCTAGTTCCTAGTGGCTGACCAAGGAGCAGCACTACATCCATCTCCATGTTAATGAATCACCCATTAAAATTTCAATTAGAGCTAAGTGGGATTGCCGCTTCTTATTAAAACAAAACAACCTCTCTTGTTGGCCGCTGAATCAAGGACATGATTTTGCCAGTCGCGGGACGAGCATTAGGGGTTCTTCTCTGATTAAAACAATGCCAAAGTAAGCTTTCATATTGACCTCGTCCTTTCCATCTGGGAGGCTCCACTCAAATGTGTGCAGCATTGTAGCCAGAGCATAGTGCACCATAGTGAGACCCATGTTCAATGCGGGACACATTCTTCGGCCTGATCCAAAGGGTATCAGCTCGAAGTTCTGACCTGTGACTTGCACATCAGACTTTGTCTCCAGAAAACGTTTGGGATTAAACTTGTTGGCCTCGCTCCAAGTAGATTCATCTCTTCCAAGAGCATACGCATTCACCAGCAGCCCTGTTCCTGCAGGAATGTTGTATCCCCAGATGTTACAAGATTCCACGGATTCATGAGGAGCTAGCAAAGGTGCCGGAGGATGTAAGCGAAGTGTTTCTTTGACTATGGCCTGCAGAAACTCGAGCTTTGGGATATGCTCCTCTTCCACGGTACCATTACTTCCAACAACCTCCTCCAGTTCTTGTTTTACTTCTTGCATTAACTCGGGATTTCTCATGAGCTCGGCCAGAGCCCAATCCATTGTGACTGCGATGGCGTCTGTACCTGCTGCAAGCATATCCTGAGATGCGAAAACAACCAGTTAGTACTTCAAACTTCTCCCATGTCTTACCGAAGTCAACGCCTTGATTCTGGTATCATCTAGAACTCCACCAGCAATCAAAACGTCCATGAAATCCTTCACCTCGTGATGAGACTCCCGGGTTTTCTTGTGCTCTTGAAGTTGCTCTCCAAGGTAGTTCACCAGTTGCGTTTGGAGCCACTTGATCCTGAAGACTTTGGGATCAGCCCAGCTGAGGCATGGGATAAGATCCCCGATTTGCAGACCATTCCCAACTTTGGAGGCTTCATTGAGGTTGTTGAGGAATTCTTTCAGCTTTTCAGATTCACTACCTGAGGCGTCCGAAATGCTCTTGTTCAACACCATGCGGCTCATGGTGTTGAAGGCGAATTGGAAAAACCTGGAAGTCAGATCTACAGGTCTTCTCTGGCTGCATGCTTCCACAAGTTCCGTGATGAGCATGGACATTTCCAGCTTCCGCACGGGCTGGAACATCTGCACGCGCTTTGTAATGAAAAACTCAAGAGTGCAAATCTTCCTCAAATGCCTCCAGTGATCACCGTAAGGAGCCCATACCAAATCCGTCGCATCGTACCCAAAATACTTGGCTGCTGAGTTTGCAGGCCTGGAAGCAAATTCACGGTCATGAGTCTTGAGAACTTCTTCTGCAGCAGCTGGTGTCGAAGCTACTAGTGTCTTGATTCTCCCCAGCTGCAGGTACATGAGCCCTCCATGCTGCTTTGCAAGCCGGAAAAGATACTCATGCGGAAGTTTCTTTCCTACCAAATGAATGTGGCCTATGATGGGCAGCGCTCTTGGAGATGGTGGAAGACTTTGATTTCGCTTGTTAGTACACAAGAGCACAACTAGTATGAGAGCAAGCGTGAGCACAATTGTAAGTATCATTTCTAGCATACTGGCATGTGGAAGTAAGCTTAGTTCTTTATGTATACAGATTGGAATATACTTAGGTATCTTGCAACAAGTATATAAGTATATACCTAAGTTATTATATGTAGTTATTATACACTTTCAATATCTTTTGTAGGATCCCAATTGTGACAGACCATCAGGCACTGCAATGACTTTAAACATGAATACATATTCTGTCATATTTTAATAATGGAAGGCCCAATTTAGAGTAAGCACTTTTTAAAAAAGTATGTTTACCAAACACCTTTACTATTATGCCTTTTGTGTTAATATTGTTTGGTCCTAAATATTATTTATAGAAAGTGTTTAAATTTGTTTATTTGGCATGGAATATAGAGATTGTGTTGAAGACAATGGTGTTGGTCCCATGTCCAAATTCACAATCTAGCACTATTCTATATTTAGTAAGTTTCAAATTTGTCCTAAAGATTAACTCCTGGTACTAAAAGTGGCCAAGAGTGAAAGTTCCTCAACAGAGGGTTTAAATGTATAGTAGGGATAGTAGGTAAGTTAAGCATGGTTGATTAATCTGAGGTATAATTTAACTCCTACTTACGTGCTTGTTCTTGTTTTATATTTGACTTGGGTCTAAGCCCAAGTTCCACACCATGCTAGCTGATGAAATACCTATATTCTTGCGTTAGGCCACTGGAATACTAAAATAGTTCCAAATTTCATTTAGCTCGATTTTGTGTGTTAGTCCTGACATTGGGATGTTGGATGCAATTGTTCCAAGTCACTTCGTGCTTCTATCCCTTTGTTCTTTGGGTTGTACGCTCATAAGTCATTTTGTGCTCTAGTATTGTTGATGTTTAAATTTGAGTGAAATAGGATATTTATCCATAGAATTGATATTGAGTTTGATTAGACTCAATACATATAGTATTAATAATTTGGCTATAGCTTTATATTATTAGCATTCATGTATTTGCTAGTTAATAATTATATTAGCTTTCAAATGAGTTGAGTGGCAAGTTTGAGTTAGCTGTGTTCTAAATAAGATTATTTAGTAAGGGTTAAGCTTTTAGTTTTTCCTTGAAAAATAATTGAGTTGTGGACTATATTAGCTTTGCAAAAGAAAAAGATTTTAAAGTTGTTGATTCCTTATTGGATTTAAGTTGAGAATATATCGATCATTGATGATTTCTCTTGTGTTTGTTATGAAGTGAATTATATTTTATTATGCACAAATAAATTCATGGAGGATTGTTTAGTGATCACTTATTAAGCATAACTTTGTTGTGCTTAGTTTTTGGATTGATGCAAATATACTCTTCTTTAGCTTTGGCATTATTAAGTGTAGCTTTTGGATGTGTTAAGAAGGATATTGTGGGTTGCACCATGATTTTTTCTTTAACATTAACATTAGTTTATATAAGACTTGTGATCATTGTTAAATAGGAGGTAAATATAAGCTTCTTTAAACTTTATGTTCTTTGAGTTTTATACTCTATGCTCTATTTGTTAAAAGGTGTTAGGGAAGGCATTTTTGGTTTATTAGCTTTGATGTTAAAGTTAGTATTTACATCCAACAATCATTGATGATGATTAATTATCATCTAGAATAGTTGATTATCCTTGTCAAAAGTTTTGCTTGATTATTATTGATATGTTCTTTTGGATGGTGGATTCTTTATTTAACAACAATTATGCATCTCTCTATTGATGGGATGATTGATAATCTTTCATGATAGTTAGTTATTCAATTTGATGGCTTTTAGCTTTTCGCATTACCATATGTTTTTTTATGGATTGTTTTGGATTAGTCTCTTGAGTTTTAGACATTGGTAAAATGTTGCTGACACTTGCTTAAGCAACTTGAGTTCCTTCGTATTGTTGATTGATATCTATTCAAGTTGGCTAATGTAATAGTTAGCATAATCAAGTGTTTATTGATCTTGCCACATTCATTTTGTTTTGTTAATTATTACTATAGTTACTTTTGATAGATTTGATGTTTTTTCCTTTGGGTGATATATTCGTGAGGATTTTGCTCACTAGTCAATACATTCTATAAGTTGTCTTTCATAAGTTGTTTAGCATACTATTTGTAATTTTTGATAGCTAAATTTTATCATTGATTCTTCTTGATGGTATACTTGCTATTGAGTTTCGTGGATGGTTAATCTTTTGTGTTCTAACTATAGTGATCTTGGTGGTTTCTATACTATAATTCTAGTTTATTGGATGAAAACTGCATTAGAATACTTAAAATTAGTTTTGATGTAGCTCTTCCATCATGAAGAAATATAGTCTATAAGCTTTGTCATAAAAATAAATAAATTTTCACTTTATCCTTACAAGAATTATGAGACTAATAACTTTCCCACAATTCTAACCAAGAATGAATGTTTTGACTATCATAAACATCTAGTGATAATTTCCATTCCATGATACTATAATCTTTGGCATGTTTGATATACCAATAGTAATCATAAATACAAGATTGATTCAACCTTTAAGGTCTAAAAAAATTAAAAAATCTTTAATGAGATAAACAAAATCCTTGAACCTCAATAATTTAGCAACTTTGCCACATTAGAACATCATTAAAAATCTTGGCTATCACTTATGCCATACTCCTTATCAAGATCTATATCCCATTCATTTACCATCCTTAAAAGAATATATTGCTCTGATACTAATGAAACAAACAAGGAGTGAATCCTAGGCTAACCTCCCAACTTTTAAAGCATTACAACTTTAAATCCCACAATCCATAGAATAGTGTTAAACTTTGGACTCATTATAACATCTAAATAAGTATATCCTAGCAAGAGCTCCTCAAGTGCCATTAGGGAAACCATGCACTAGCAATTCTTATTCAAATCTTGAAGTGTCTTACATGAATCCCTATATTCATTTTCTGCCTTTTATTTTGATTTTTGGGCCAAGAAAGGCCAAACCTTGTTTTGTAAAAAGTTTTCACAACCTTCGTTAGCCACAATGTCATTCCCCTAATCTGTACTCTTGGGGGTTGAGATTGGAAGACAATTGTCACATCTGCATACTTGCGTTCCTTGCGATAGGTGTTATATTGTGTTCACATGTGATACACTTTATATTTTACAAGAGATAGGTTCACCAAAAAACAAGACACAATACTTTTCTTTTATCTACTTTGGAAGTATTCATCCTACATAACTTTTAGTGTGGGATCCTGTGGAGATACATCTAAATGGTACCATTTTGCTGCTATCACTTGTATAAAATCTCTAGCTCGATTGTCTTGCCATCTTAAGTTACAATTCTTAGCACGGTCCATTGTTTCTTTCAGTGATCTTTTGTTGAGAGGAAAAAAAATATCCCTGCTGAGAAATCATGAGTATGGGTCTGGAGGTATAAGACAATTGTGACAGATATGTATCCTTATGTTTATATTAATATAAATATGTATACAATACAATATCCTCTTGTCACCACAGTTATATATGTACAGCTATAGTGTACACTTTTATATTCTACAAGGGCCAATAAAGGATCTCACCAATCTTCCTTGCAACAAGCAAGTATTGACAACACACACAACAAGTTGTGGGGGATCGAAGACGAACAAAGAGAAGATGAGGGACCACAGAGAGAGAAAAATCCATGCATTGCATGATACGTCCCATGCCTCCCAATACAATTTTTATATTTACTGATAATAAAGGTTTACTTGTTAAATAAGTTTATTTATCTAGTCCCACTTAGGAAATAAGTTTTTAAAAACTGTCCAAAACATTTGTAGCGGTCTATTGTCCCTTTCAATGATCTTTTGTGGGTCAGAAGGATCTAAATCCCTTGTATTATGATGTTTTGGACAAATATATATACATTAAATCTGCACCTTAGATAGACGAGCAGAAATAGCATATTACTGAGAATGTCACTATAAATTCTATCCTTAATTGCTTTGGAAATAACACTTTATGATTTAATAATCTTATATTTTCTGACAAGATTCTATGACTTGCAAGAAACACATAATTTTTATTTATAATTTCGTACTGTGATCACTTCAACACATGTGTCTGTGACATTATTTCCACATTATGGCATAGTCATATTAAAGCATACTTCTATTATTAAATTACAACTCAAAAGGACTTTGTCACGTGATCAAATCTAGGACAAAATAGAAATTATACATTGCTAGCAAAATGTAATGAAGATTTACTGCATCCACGATGAACGGCTGTGATGAAAGTTAAGTTAGGGTTAGGGCAGCTGCCGGCATTAGGGTTTTACAAAAAGTAGAGTGGGAGATTGGGAGTGACTGTGGGATCCATTGGTGTTGAATAGAATGCTGCCAATAGTAAGTTTTTTTCTCCTCCACTCCCACGCCACACCCAGCACCGCAGTGCCCATGCCACACCCAGCACCAGTGCCGCACCCACGCCGCATCCAGCGCCGCCACGCCCACGGCACGCCCAGCGCCCCCACACCCACGTCACGCCTAGGGCCACCGCGCCCACGCCACACCCAGCGTGACTTTGTCTTCACAGAAGTCCTTGTGAATCCCTGATTCAATGAGTGTAAACGTTGTGATGCAGGCTAGCACTTGCAGGAGGGGCTTAAGATTTTTAAAGCCTATCCATTCTTTCTCATCTCAAGGAGCCTTTGAGCTTGCAGCTCCACAGCAAAACCAAAACCTTGAGCTGCCTCATCGACTTCATGTTTCATTGGAGGCTTTGGAACGCTCCAGAACATCACTCCATGATTTTGTAAGATGTAGTTGCAATTGTCATGGCTGACAAGCGCGTGCTTTTAGTGCATCTCACATTTCATGTTCCATGGCCTGGATCCCGGCAACCACGAACACAACTTCAAGTGCTTGCCAGTTCTTGCTTTCACGGAGGCTTATGTGTATGAGGTCTGTAATTCCAAGAGCCCTATGGAGTATCTGAATTGTTATGGGCACAGGTCGATGTAGAATACGAGAAAGCTCTAAAGAAAATGCAGGATATCCATGACCCAGTCAATGACGTGGATCCCTTTTATGGGCTTAAACTGGAACTCGCGGCTCGAAATCTCTGGACGGATAGGTACGTCTGATGTCCATTCAACTGGCTCAATCATTGCTTGAAACAATGCAGGATGGCAAATGAACTTTTGAAAGGATGCCATTACTTGAAACTAGAGCAATCCATTTGTCGTTCCAGTCCAGAAGATCAAATTTCAATCCTAGATGCACGCAGAGCTTTGGAGTTCAAATCAGCCGACTACAAGTTGCTCAACCTCTTGCTTTACAAAATGAGGGGAGAAGAGGTGAATGAGTTCCACTTCGGCTTTCTAGAGTTGTCAAATCTTCTTGTGGAGTTGGCAGATAACTATTGTTCTACAGGCTGAGTACATTTCCGTATGAAAAAGGCTAGAAAGTTAATACCCGTCATGTACTTTGCTTGCGCCAATGCCGACATTACAGCTCCAACCCATCTATCGCTGGGTTTCTCCTTTGCAAGCTTAAAAGCCCTGAAGAAGAAACAAAACAAATGTGAGAGACAACTTCAATCACCGTGAGTCAACGTTTTGTCAACGTGAATGCCACGGTGAGCTGGAGCAGGAGAACCAAAATCTGGCTGTCCAACCAATACTGCAATCGCTGAATAAATGAACAATCACATTAAAGTGGAATTTTGAAAAATACCATAATATTGGTGGGGGCTAGGGCGGACGAAAACTGTTGAGACTGACGTATTCACGGTCTGTATTCCTAAGGTGGCTGTTTCTGTGTATCATGAGTCGTTTGTCGAACTTATTTCAGGTCCGAAACACAGCCAGCAAAGGAAAGAAGGGAGGCAAGAAGTTTTTTCAGGCCAGCGTTTTGCTTTGATCTGATTCCTTAGATAGGGATTGGATGACAAGGCTTTCAATGTTCAGCAAATCGTGTTTGTGTAGCTTTTTCTACCGAACTCAATTTAATTCGATTCGCTCCTGTGCTTCTATGGTCCCGCAAAGGTGAGGATCACGCCTTCTGCAAGGTCAAGCGAGGATCAGAACGTTCTCACGAACTTCTGGGTAAGAGATGTTTTTTTCCTCCTTTTGTGCTAGCTTCAGTGTCTAGATTGCAGCATGCAGGAAGTGGCAGATGTAATGCAGCCTCAAGACGTAGGAGTCGTGACGAGAAGCTCAATCGCTGCCACGACGTGGTTTCCTGGACGAAATGCTTCTCAAAGGATGACAGGATCGAGGAGATAGCGAGATCACATATTCTGATCCGGCGAGACGCCCAAGAGAGAAAGAGCATGGCGCGGGAGAGTGGGGGCTTAGGGTGAGGTGCCTGACCTCGGGTGTCCGAGCTCAGCCCGGGTACCGCGATCATAATTCTTCCAAAAAGTCTTTGGATTCTCTCGAATTCTAACAAAGTGAATTCCAGTCTGCTCCAATTGAAGTTTTGATGGAATTTTTTACACGATCCCCTCAACTAAAGGTCCAATCGAACTCTCCATCCTGAAAATGAGAGGGTATACAAAAAGACTGTCACGATTATTGAGGTTCATAATCCCATCCTCGAGGATACATTTCCACTTGCTCTTTGATCTAGTTACCTGCAAAGACAAAGTCAACTCCATCTCTAACTTCAGACAACCAAACCTTCTCAAACTGCGCTAGTACGAGATGAGTTGTCTTTGGCTCCTCTCCAGCTTGATCGATGTCGTTTAACTCGTCCTCCTTATCGTCATCTTGTTCATTCAAGGGAGGCTCTAATCCTTCGGAGTCCACACCTTCCACTTGTGTTGCTGTCGCTACCAGAGTCTCGTTAGCCGGTTCTTCTGTACGTTACAATGAGCCTGGCGACGAAGGTTCACAGTCGGATCCACAGTATCACTCGAAACAGCTCCACGCCGCGGGGTTGTGGCCGTTCTGTGCGTACGCCCCGGCCGTCTGGATCAAGCTTGGGAAATCTTCGTGACCATGCAGCAGCAGCAGCATCAGTGCTGGAACGCGATGATGGTGGCATTTGCCATACATGCCGATCGAGTTTCCGTTGTTCAAGCAGCCAGCAGCCAAGCTTTCGTGAATCTTTGCCTGCCAGACAGAAGACACGTTACATCCCCCCAGCGCCGCCCATTGTCGCAAACAGCTCCAGTGCTTGCCTGGATCAAGCCCGTGATCGCAGCATTCCAAGCCGGGACGTCTCGGCAAGGAATCCTGTCCAGCACTTGTCCGGAATGCCCGAGAAGACTTGCATGGCTTTCTGGACATGCCCGAGCTGAGCATATGCGGCTATCATCCCAGTCCAAGTCACTAGTAGCCACCTGTAAGTCGTCAAGCAGACAATTGGCGTGGATCATGGCATTGCTCGTGTGTAACAATTCCAGTGCTTCGCGCACGCAGTCGTTCTGGGGTAGGCCTGGATCATGGAATTCCCCACATTCTTTCGAAACAAAGTCTCGCCTCCTTCACTTTCCAGCTCGGGCTCACCATCGCAGTAAAAGTTAGAACTTCTCTCGCGAGAACCGTCTCTTCAAACACGAACTTTGCGCTCCCGAACGCAGCCCAGGAAACACCATTCCGGAAGCTCATTCCCAATGGTGTTCCCTGGGCTGCGTTCATCAGCTCTCGTGCCCCCGTGATGCGCATGAGCTTGGAATTCCAGGCCATGTCATTGTGTTGTGGCATCTTTCCAGCAAACCAACCGCCTCATCGAGAACTTGCAGATGTAAAAGCCCCTCAAGTATAACCATTGTGAAGCGTTGCCACGATAACCCTTCTGACCACAGCATACCCGTCCAGGACACGATATTCTTGTCCCGAGTGCCCTCAAACAAAAGCCATGCCTCGTAGAGAAATCCACTGCTGCACCATTGCGTTCCAAGAGATGGTGCTGGCATGCCGTATGTGGTGATATCACAACCGTTCCAAGACACAACGTCCCACACGGGCATTGCATCCAACACCTTCTTTTCCTTTGAAATGGCGAGCACGTGGTCATGAGTCCCCCGTCCACGAGTCAGGCATGGTCAGGTTGCCCAGTCCGGGCATATGCTGCAATGAGAGGATTTGAGGCGTGCTCTTGTGTGGCATCTGCTCAAACAGTTGCCTCGCCTCGTCCATTGATCATATGAGACCGTGTCAAACACGAGTCAAACAATCCCTGGTGTAGCTGATGCAACTGTTGCAGACGAGCACCACAATGATTGTGTTGTAGGAGAAGGAATTGAACTGCTAGATGCTTTGATCCAGCCAATGCTGCCACCTATGTCTTACTAGCAAACATCCACTAAAGTAACTTCATTGCCCAGGTGGATCTCCTTTCCAAGCTCTATCAAGGAATGGAGATGGGGTGCAGCTGCATTTTGGCCATAGCTCACCATCTTCAAGCTGTGATAACGGTGAGTCACTCTACTAGTGTTGTTAATTTAGACTATCAGTCCCTTTAATATTTCAGTTGTCAAAAGGATTTCAAGGTTACTTTGCTTGTTGGCAAGAGTTTTTGTAAGAAATGTTTATTAAGATTCAATATAAGCATGGGGGTGATGATAAAGTGGTTGATGCATTATCCAAAATAATAAATTTTATCTCATTGATGAAGCTATTTAGCAATCTTTTGAGTTTATAGAGTTTATTGACTTCAACTCTTTTATCACTAATATTTGAGCAAAGGTTTTGTTGAGGAATATCTTTACAGATTTGAATGGTGACAAGTTTGCATCATTTAAGATAAGATGGAATTCTGACATGTGGTGGTTCCTTATGTTGACAAACTCATCAAATAAATTTTAGTTAAATGTCATGATGTGTGAAGTGTTAGACATTTGGGGGTATTAAGAATGTATATATTAGTGAAGAAGCATTTTTTGGCCTAGGATGAAATCAGATATTAAGAAGTATATATATGGTTATTTGACTTACCAAAAGGTTAAAGTTGATTATCAAAACTTGCTAATCTCTATCATCCTTTACATGAGTCACTTGTGGACAAGTCATTAGCTCTTTCATAATACCTCAAAGGAGTTGCATGACATAAAGTCCCCTAAGGATGCTATTTGAGCTATTTTGGATCATTTAACAAAGATGGTTCATTTTTTCCTAGTAAAAATAACAATTAAAGCTTTTAAATTTGCTTAATTTTTTATAGACCAATTATTTAGTCTCTATAGTTTACCAAATGATATTGTGAGTGATCGGGAAAATTCACTTCTAAGTTTTGGCAAATGATCTTTAAGAAGCTAGAGACTAAGTTGAGTATGAATAATGGTGAGCATCCATAATCAAATGGGCAAACAGAGCATATGAATCAAATGTTAGAAGATATATTAAGGTTTTTTTTGGGAAATTTAACTTAATAAAGAGCATAGGAGTACTATTTGTCTTTGCTCATAATAGCATTCATTAATCAGCTATTAATATATCTCCATTTATGGTGATGTATGGTTATAAGGCTAAGTCTCTTGTAAGTTTGAGTTTGGCTTTGGTTTGGGTACCTCATGCTTGTGATTTCCTTATGCAAGACAAGCTTGAGTTGGCAAAACTGAATATGAGGCAAGCTCAAAATCGAGATAAAAGATTGGCTGATGAACATTATCATTATCAAGAATACAAAGTTGGTGACAATATTTTTCTTAAATTGTTAGCTGCACAATGGTCTTTGAAAAGAGGTGGTAGTGCTAAGTTGGCTTTATAGTATTGTGGGCCTTAAACAATTTTACAATGTGTGGGAGATTTTGTTTACACTTTGGACTTGTTAGCTAGTTTAAAGATTCATCTAATATTCCATATAAGCAAGCTTAAAGTGTGTTTGCACTCTAGTGATCAATCCATTATCCAAGTCCTAAAGATTTATGTTGAGAAGGTTGGTCCAGCTAATATTCTTGCTCAAAGATTGGTGAAAATTTATTGTAAGATAATTTGGGAATTATTAGTTTGTGGAATAATTATTCTATAGACGAAGCTATATGGGAAATTAAGGATGATATGAAGAAAGTGTTTTTGAGTTTTGACAATCTTGAGGAAGGGGAGAATTAAATTCTATAGCTGTATTGTTATATAATTTAATCCATTTGTTTTGTTCTCATTCTCTTGTTTTCATGACTATATTATCATGCAAAAAAGCTATATTGCTTTCTTTCTTTCGTAGCTATTTGTTACAATATTGGTGTTACCATTTGCACATCCTTTCCTTATGACCATATTGCATTAAACTCCCTTTATGTAAAACTCATTTAGCTTCTTGAGGTCATGAAATGATACAAACCACAAGAATATTCTAAGAATATTCTATGGCCCGAGGTTGTGTTGCGAATGTGACTTCGGGTATCGAAAGTTATCTGTTGACCAGTCTTTACGGACACTCTTACCTTACTGCCACGACGGCAGGAGGTCGGTATTGCTAGACCCTTTATCAGTCCCTCTTGTGCTAGTGGAGTTAACTGGGCATTTCGAGTGTACTTAG